ATTTATGAGTGTCCCCCAGCAACGCAAATTCATTTCATTATACCCAGCAGGTTTCAAGTCAAGACTTGGCTCGCAGATCTGAGCGAAGACCCACTTTCCGCGAATCTGCAAGGTATTAATTCTTTCTATAAAACGTGCTCATCATTCTCCGGTCTATTCAACTAATTCATGAGAGTACCTTTTCTGAAAAGCTATTTCCACCTGTTTGTATAGTCACAGAATTTGTGCCTTTAATGAATGTTCGAAACTTACGTATTCCTTCAGTGTTCCATTTTAGCACACTCATAATTGCAAGAAAAAAGTAGAAAAGTTTCTCTGAACATTTCATTGGAAATTCTTTGGTGGGGTTGAATGTGACCACAGTAGAAATCAATACTTGTGAGACTGCTGTGCATTTCCAGGAGTAGGTGGCAGGACAGGCGAATTGGCAGGCTACATTCCAGCACAGGTGACCGTGCCCCTACTCGAAAACTATATGTTATCTGTGGTTGCTTGGCATTTATTTGGTTCGGCGTGTGGGAATAGTTGCACGTGGGTTGTATTTCATAGGAATTACAAGGTATCCTGTTATAGTAGCGATAAACATCGAATTCTATGCATGCATATAATATTTTACAAATGAGCTGTATATTTATATCTGTATCTGTTGGTTTATTGTTTAACTATGCTTCTGATTTGTTGTTTAATTGTATTGTATGTGGGCTCACTTGTTCCTGTATAAATATTGTTTTCATTGCTAAAGAGTTGTTATCTAATTTTCTTTGCAATATACAGTACTCGGGATTTTGATGACCGTTTCTACTGTGTATAGTCTTTACTGTTTGTTAGGTTAGGATTTTTCATTAGGCTCACTAGTGTTGCAAGATAAAGTAAATCAGTTTGTGGCGAAAGCACAGTATATAGTGGTTTATCGTCATATTATTTTTTAACCTTTAGTTATACTATAGAATGTTGTAGCTGTTCATCAGAATTGCTTTTCATTAAAAATTAAAAACAAAGCAGGAAAAAGAAAAGCATATATCAAATCATATTTATCTTCTGCTGTTGCCTTTGTAATCTTTAGAAACATTTTGTTGTGGAAATTCTTGTTCTCTTGGGGGGTGTATTGCATTACTTTTCTAAGTTTGGCAACCTTCTTGTTATTTAACGGGAGATGTCTGTCGTAGGCCTTCTTGCCTGGAAGTGAGACAGGCAATTTCAATGTATTGATTTGGCAGGCCATCTTTTTATATGTAGGTTGTTACAACACCTGATCATTCTGTCTGGTGTAGTCATATTGGTTTCATTCAATTCTGTGTGAAATAATACTTCTCATCTCTTGGAACTTATGTGGAAAACATTCAAAAGACTTGGAATTCTTCATATAATAATGTGGTCATCAGGGCTTGAAGGCAGACACATAATTAGAGGTCATTGTTTGCATATGGAAATTTCCTATTGCACTTGAGATGACAATTTCCAAAAATTCATTTACAGTGTATATTAAATCAACCAATTTTGGTTTTGTTCTTTTACTGTGAAGTCTCTAAAGGGAGATCTGAGTCCCCCCTCTCATGGGAAAACAGTGACATACTGTTTCTAATCATTCTGTTTGGACTACAAGTAGGAGGAGCCTAACAACTGGGTTATTCCAAGCATCAGAAAATAGTTGAAGATCTTTCACATTATTAGGATTTTTGTCAGTATAGGGCAGAAGAAAGGAACAAAATTTATTAGAGGTTTTCTGCCCTTCCACCTTCCCAGACTTGAAGTTGTGTTCATTGTAAATGTATCCTGTAAGCTGTATTCAGTAAAATGTTTCCTGAACTGGTATGGAAGATAAAGATAAATTCTGCATGTAGTTAATAAAAATAGCATTGGTGAAATCATCTACCAAACATTAAGACTTGATTTATGTTGCCACTTGTTCTGGGAAAGTGCTGTTTCTCTGCTGAATATACTTACAGAGGGCTGTTAAACAAATCATAATTGCCAGTCAAATGTTCATTCATACAAAGTACATAACTTGCCTATGAAAGTAATCACAGACAGTCAGGAATAAATTCTTGGCTTACAGAAAGGTATATATTATTGTATTTCATGAATCATTACTTCTTTTTGTGTCTTAAAATGTTTCCATTTTAATAATGTGTTTCACGAAGAGTGGGAAAAGTTAGCAGAAATTAAGAAAACATTTCATCATTACTCAGCTAGTTGTACTATCACATTGAGTGTGCATTTGAAGTAAATGTTGCAGCAGATTAAGTCCTCTCTCTCTCCTATCTTGAGTAAACAAAGGGGTAAATGGTGAAGAACATGCATTTGGCATCTCCTCATAAGAGTTGGTCATTGTCAGGATATGGAATTTCAGCTGTCATCTTAGGAAAGAAACAAAATATCCTCTTGGAGAGACTTTTATACTCAGAATAATAATTTTTTATATTAACAGGTAGTTCTATACACATTTTGCTTAGATCAAACCACCCCCTAGGGTAAGAGTAGATGAATCATCACCCTGATGATGGAGGCAGTATGACCTCTGAAACGTTGGTAAACATGCACCATACTACAACGCGCAACAACCCAGAAGACAGAAATCTTCATATTTTATACTTGTGCTATAACAGTACCATGCATCACCAGTGTGTCACAGCACATTCTTCTCAGAAACATCTCAGCTCCCCATGTTAGATGCACTTTCTTTGTGTGTGTGTGTGCACATGTGCATATAGGTGTGTGTATATGTTCTGGATTCTATTTCTTTGTGGTGACTCCAAAATTCGAAGGAAATTTGTGCAGGCCTGATTATGTTATTAGCCTTTATAATTATTACGATTATCTGACATTCCATTTTTTTCTAATGTGCTGTGTCAGAACACTGACACATTTTATCAATGCATTTGGTCAGAAAACCTGAAGAAAAGATATCATTTGGAAAACCTAGGCACAGATTGGCAGAAAAGATTGAAGTTGATCTCGAGGAAAAGGGTACAAGGGTGTGGGTGGAACTCACTGGCCTCAGGACAATGGACCAGTGGCCAGTTCTTGCGAACATGTAATGAACCTTTATATTATATAAAATGTGGGGAATTTCTTGACTAGCTAAGTGATTGTTTGCATCTCAAGGACTCTGCTCCCTAGTGTTGGTGGTAGTAAAGGTAAATGAAGTTCATATTCAGTTGCATTGTAAAATTCTTCCAACAGAAAAAATTGTTACCTGAAAAGCAGTAAAGGCAAGGCATTGTTGCCATGAGAAGAAGATTCTGATTATTTTTATTTGAATTTTTTTCAAGTATTGTTGAGAATCTTTAATCGAACAGAACAGAATATTGGGAGAATATGTGGCAGGCATATCATGTATGGTTGCTGAAGATTTTTCGCTCTCACCCATAATTTTATTGAATTTGTTTCCCCCATGAGTAGGTCCTGCTGTATTGATAGATCAGGCTAAATGTACATGCAGAGTTTTATGTCATGTGACTGTATAGCATTGAATAGTGTAGTCATCTCTTTCTACATCTCATATTTTTGTTGCAGAAATGGTATTTTTTACTTGTGCACACTGTGGGGAGTCACTGAAGAAAGCTAAAGTTGAGAAACACTACCAGACTGTTTGTTCTAGAAATGCTGTTGCTGTAACGTGTGTAGACTGTTGCAAGGATTTCAGGTAGTGGAGACTTTAATTATCTTTTAACCTGTGGTTCTAAGATTTGTTTTGTATGTTGGGCCTTTGGAGTAAGGTTCTTTTCTAAGTTTCTGCAGTTTCAGTATGCTTAACACATAATCTGTTATCATAATCTCTATCTTTATCACATATTTCTATTTTGTAAGATTTTTCACTGCTGTGGTTTCTAGTTGCATGTGAATGTTATCTATAAGATTAGTCCGAAGTTCAGTGACAAGTTAACTTGTCGATTTGGTACATTAGAATAGTGCATGTTAGGCTTGCATTTTGTAATTAAGGACAGGACAGATTTTCTTCTGAACTTGGAGGAAGGCCAGAATTTTAGAAGTCATACTTTTTTCCTGTTCTGACTTTGTATCTGTCTGGTCCTTCGGTTTATATTGAAGAGCAAGTTTTGAAAGTCTATTAATATCCATCATTAACTTTTCTTTTGAATTATGTTTTTAAATTTACCATTTTGTTCTTTTTCTGTGCCTTCATTTTTAATTTTGTCTTGCCTGGTACATCCCTTGACATTCATAAGAATTTATTGGTCTGCTATATTTTTTATTCTTCATAGTCCAATAATACCTTAGTAGGATTTGAGGTTTTTATGGCAGTGAGTCTGAAGATGGCTGCCTTCTTTGTTACTGTGCCATGTAGTCTGGTAGAAGATCCTCAGGGGCCCACACTAGTGGGTACAGGAGTGGCACCCACAACATACCTGAGCTACCCAGTGCCCAGGGGTATAGCTGGGCCACTCTGTCTCTGGGGATCATACAGAGGCCTGGTCATTAAGGTTGGGGGGTTGGGCGTGGGGCTGACAACTCCACCATGGAAAACACTATATTGTATGAATCCTTGAATAGCACCTCAGAATTAAGTCCAAAACAACAGAATGGAAAATATGGACGTGATTGTGGTACATGGAATACAAGAAGTGTGTATTGAAGTGGAGCTGTGAGAGAATTACTAAAAGAGATGACTAAGTATAATATCCTGAGAAAGAAGAAAAGGATATATATGTGTTCCGTCATGCTGAAAGTAGAACAAGATTTTAGAGACAGCAATCCTCAAGAGGCATATAAAAATATTAACATGTTTAAAAAAGGATTCAAACTGAGCACGACACTATGCAAAAGTAAACATGGGTACATTATAACAGAAAGGGAAAAAGTGAGGAGTAGATGGAAGCAGTATTTCGAAGAGCTCCTCAATCCAGATATAAATCACCGACTAGTAATGCAAAACGAAGAGCAGGTTGTGTCGCTACCCACCAAACAGGAGATTGTAGCAGCTGTTGACAAGGTCAAAAACAACAAAGCACCGGACACTGACAACCTACTGGGAGAACTGCTTAAATAAGGAGGCCAACAGCTAACAAACGCACTCCTCCAACTTATCACTAAAATTTGGAATTCTGAAGAGCTTCCTGAAGAGTGGCAAATGATCATTATAAGTCCAATCTACAAGAGGGGTGATAAACTAGTCTGTGAAAATTATAGAGATATATCTCTACTTAGAGCTGTCAACAAAATTCTGGCCACCATCATAAATAATAGATTACAAGTTTATACTGAAGATATATTGGGTGAGTACCAGTCAGGCTTTAGACCTGGTTGATCAATGATAGACCATTTGTTACAGTTAAGCAAATGGCAGAGGAATGCTGGGAATTTGACTTCAATCTTTACCAGCTGTTTGTCGACTTTAAGCAAGCATACGGAAGCATTGACAGTGAGAAACGTTTTACAATATTGTTTGACTTCAACATTGCTGCCAAGCTGGTGAGGTTTGTGAAGGCCAAACTCTACTATCCTGAATAAACCCCATCAAATAGCAGAATATGCAGGTGATTTAAACATCCTTGGAAGATCAATATTAGCAGGGAAGGAAGTCTTTGGGAACATTGAAAATGCTGCGAAGGAAGTAGGTCTAAGGGTAAACGAAAACAAAACTAAATTGACGCTACAAAGTAGACAACAGAAGAACAGACTAGGACAGAACATCACACTGGGTGATTACAATTTTGAGGTAGTCACAAACTTCACATAACTAGGGGCCAACATAACATCAGATAATGATGAGATTGGTGGAATACAAAAACGTATAGCCACAGCAAACTGGGCGTATTTCTCACTGTTGCCTGTACTGAAAGTGAGAGACATCCACAAGGAAACTAAGCTCAGACCGTACAGTGGTATTGTACAGAAGTGAAGCCTGCGCAATAACCACCAAAACCTCCAAGCTGCTGGACAGCTTTGAGAGAAAAATGCCAAGGAGGATATTTGGACCTGGAGGATTTGTTAGTTATGAATCATACCAACTTTATAAAGATCCAGGCTATCTGTACGCATTAAGCTGAGGCGTCTCCAATGTGCAGGATATGTCCAAATAATGCTGGAGAACTGAATATCAAAGAGGGCTCTTAATGGACAACCATGCAGTAAAAGACCTGTGGGGAAGCCAAGGATGCGATGGGAGGACAGTGTCACCAAAGATTCAACAGAGTTCCTGAGACTTAAGAAGAGTGCCTCCAAGAACTGGGGTGATTAGGGGTGCAAAATCAAGGACGCCAAAGCTCGATTTGGGCTGTAGCACCATTGGAGAGAGAGAGTCTGATAGAAGTTTACTGGCGTTTCAGAGGTCTTTGCTGCCTGCATCATCAGGGCCAGTAAACTTCTACCAGACTGCACAGCACAATAACCCAGAAGACGGCCATCTTCAATATCTTGCTTATAAACAAGTGAAAATTGCCTTCATTTTATAAAGTTTTGATTTTGTCTCTTTCATTACTCATAATTTTATCTTCTGTTTGTCATCACACATATTCTTTCATACCAGAGATAAGTACCCAGATGAATTTAATAGTGTCTCATTTTGCAGTGCTGATACATACCCGGCACATATAAAGTGTGTTTCTGAAGAAGAAAAGTACTCGGCAAAGGGCTTTGTACCACGTCCCTCTGCAAACAAAGGAGAACGTAAGCAAAAAAAATGGCAAGATATTATAAATTCTATGCAAGAAACCCAGAACAGTCTTTCCCATGATGAGCAAGCAATCCTGAATGTCGTTGTGAAACATGAAAATGTTCCTCGAAAAAAAATCAAATTCCAGGTAGTGTAAAATACTTTTTCATTCTTGCATGTATTCTTTACCAGCAACGTTTATTTACATTGTTATTCATTTAGACAGAAGCATTTCAGTCCCATCCATGTCTCAAGTTACAAATCTAAAATATTTGGCCCCGTTTCATTGACATCATCCATTGTACACCTTAATTTAATATGTAATTGTTGCAAATCTATGTTTTAAAAAGTTGCTGATTTTGAAATGTGCTCTCGCCAGATGTTCTCTGTGGAATTCACTGTGTAAACAATCTGATCAGTGTGGCATTGTCAGTGTTTCTGTTCACTTGTGAACACATACTATTTAGTCCCTGCAAGGGAACAAGAAACTTGAAAAACAGAAGAGGTTGGTAATGCAAAAATCATAATTTGTTCACCTGCAGTAATGGTTGAAAGTAAAATTGTTCCTCATGCGCAATTAATCAACATTCTGTGAAGATGTATTGCACATTTTAACATCTGTACTGGATGGAAGTATGAGCCAAGGTAGCTTAGTCAGTATAGTAATATCTGACTATGGACTGGACAGCCAGGGTTCAATCCCCCAGCAGCCTAGATGTGAGGCACATCCAGCCTCCTATCCAGTGGGTATCATGGGTCCCATCTCTAAGGGAATGTGTGGCCAGGGTGTGACACTGATCACTCACTCCCATCTAGCACCAAGGTATCAACTCCTCCCCCATACGCCTCTGTGGTGTGTAGCGTTCAGCTTTACATTGCAGCTGCTTGGAGAGCAGGTTGAGTGGGCCTCAGAGCCTATCTGAACGCGGTAGCAAAGGAGCCACTAGCACAAATTGACATCAGTCTACAGTTTATGGGTTGAGAAATTCTGCCTTGGAGAATTAGTAATACAAGATAATGAAATTAATAGATCACAAATTTTTACCTTGTCTTTCATAAATTCTTCAGTCGACTCAAAAATGTGTTTATAAGTAGCGCTGTTATCACTTAATGTACCAAATGGATGCACAAATTTTTACCTTGTTTTTCATAAATTCTTCAATCGACTCAAAAACGTGTTTATAAGTAGCACTGTTATCACTTAATGTACCAAATGGATTTGTAATTGTGGTAAGGCATCTTGAGTTATATTTAGTAGGGATCTCTGCCTTCCATATACATGTGAGGATAATATAAGAATACATAACCTCAACAGTTGATACATGTAATAATCAGAACAATTGATGGTACATAAAATATTGAAATAATATTTGCATTTCTAGTCTGACAGCTGATTGGTGTCATGCCATGGTTTTGTGCCTCTTGGCATACCGATCTGTTATGACAGCCCTAGATACGTTAACGTCAGATACAGCAGCATTACACATCTTTATATGTTTATTGTTTGTCTTGCACATTTGGTTGATTTGAGGGTCAATTTGTGTTTCAACTTCAGAGTTCTCGTAATAGCTGTAACATCTGATAAGATACTTTATTTCTTTAATTACAGAACTTCCTGAGAAACTGCTTGAAAAGCCATTATAATGGACGAGCAGCAGATAGTTTTTTCGATAAGATGGAGGCGCTTAGTAAGGAGGAGGAACTCAATAAGGAAGACGACAAGAAACGTGCTAAGATTAATAAGGAAGCTGAAAAGGAGAACACCAATACTGTTGATGTAAAAGAAAATGATGATGAACCCAGTCAAGAAGAACAGGTAGATGAGAAGCTTAGTAAGAAGGAAAGGAAAGAAAGGCGAAAAAAGGCAAAGTATGAAGCAGAGTTAAAGGAGATAGAGGGTAATCACATGAGTGAGGCAGATGTGGAGAATAAAGATGAGAGTAGAAACAAGAAAAAATCTAAACGAGTTACAAGTGTATCAACAGAAAATGGAAATGTAGAACTGGAGGAGAAATCAAGGAAGAAGCACAAGGGAAATGTATCTGGGGCAGAAAATGGTGTTTCAGAGGAGACTGAAATGTCACAAGGGCAGATTTCAAAGAAACGCAAGAAAGAGTCGATGACAGAGGATGCCATTTCAGAAGACTGTGTGGTGAAAGATAGAAAGAAATCAAAGAAGAAACAGAAGAAAGAAGCAGGTGCTATAGATAATGAGGATGCCAACAGATTTGAGGGTGGCAAATCCAAGAAAAAACGAAAGAAGGGTCAGGATGAAGCAGAGGATATATGTGGAGAGCAATCTGCTAATAAAAAGCTAAAAACAAATGGTAAGTACAATTTGGATTGTTTTAAAAATGTGGTCACTCCATGTCAAATCAGACAGTAGAGAGCCAAGTTAATTTGAATGGATGTAACATTTAATTCAAGCGTTCATATGCATGTGGAGGGCATTGGATTAAAAAATCACTTCATTGAAATTACTGGAAAGCAAAGAAAGTGAGCAGTGGTTTTTAGTTATGCAGAAAGTTGTATATAATTAGGTTATTAGTAATGAATTCAGAAAAGGAAAATCAATTACATTTGTCTACTTCTGTCCACCAAACATTTTAGCAGTAGATGATGTCTGAGGACATCTCCCATCATGTGTTCGTTGTGGTCCATCACACAGATGGGCTTTTTATCCTTCCATGTCTTATGGCCTGTTTACATTTCAGAGCAATGATGTGTACGAATTATGAGAGCATTTATTTTGTGATCGCACTTTAGAACTGTAAGTGGTTTAGAGAACTGCACAGCCAATTTTTCCTTTCTAGTTTTTTACTTTGCATTATTTTGAGAACATCACTCCTGTTTATTTTAATTTCAAGTTCCTAACACAATCGTTACTCTTGTATTTTAGTAGCCTGGCCATTGCTGGTGAATTGTAAAAATGATCTAGCTACACTGGAAAGCTTATGGAAATCACTCGTTTAACCAGATGCAATTTTATTCATGTTCTCATTGATTGTAAGGAGCTAGAGATTAGACTTCCACAATTCATAAGTTTATATTCCAGATCAGTTGCAGACATTGCTTGAATGACAGTCATAATTTCTGTAATGTTAGAAATGAAATATTCTGTCCAGAAAGGAGTTTCATTTAAAATATTTCATTGGATTTGGAGGTCCATAGTTATTTAATGTGTCACTACTGTCAGTAAAATGCAAATGTGTCTTGTAATTACATCACCAATTATTGGTGATGATAAAATTAATTCCTTGAGAAGTAGTCCTGAGAACAGGCTTTTATATGACTGCAGTCACTGAGTCTATTGCCTTCAAAGAGATCAGAATGAGTAAAATTATACCATTCACATTATTCTGTTTGCACAACTATTCTGTCAACTAAACCTTCCATTAAAAAAAAAGGATCCTGAATTTGTATCTTGACCTGAAGACTGATAGTACTGATGGATTTATCATGGTTTCCTACAGTCACTGCAGCCAGATGATGGGATAGGACCTTAAACTACAACTTCCGTCCACATGCTATTTACTTTATAATTCAGAGTAATTTGGTGCTGTATAAACTATTAACTAACTAACTAACTAGATGGCTTACCGAACACAAAGATTCATCACTGAATTAACCAAAGCCTTCCACCGGTCCCTGTCCTGGGCCTACAAAATCCTATTGCCTTCAACTCCTGTCTCCCATAGATCCCATCAGGCATCATCCTCCCATCTACATCTAGGTCTCCCCAGTGGTCTCTTCCCCTCAGGCTTCCCAACCAATACCCAGTGCACACCTCTTGTCCCATCCATGCGCATTACATGCCCCGCCCATCTCATTCTTCTCGACTTGATCACCCTGACAATATTGGGGGAGGAGTACAGATTTTTAAGCTCATCATTATGCAGTTTTCTCCATGCCCCATCATCTTCTCTCCTAGGCCCAATTATCCTCCTCAACACCCTATTCTCAAACACCTGCAATCTGTGTTCCTCCCTCTGAGCGAGAGACCATGTTTCGCACCCATACAAAAAACAACAGGCAAAATTATTGTTTTCTGTATAAACTACACAGGTAGAAACTCATTAAGAAGAACCCATCCGTCACAGTAACATTTCTTTAGTGTCCCTTTTCAACATTGTGATCAGTGATTGTCTCTCTTTCTCACTTGATGTGTTGTTACAGCTATGTGATGGGGAAAAAAATAGGATTTGAGGGTTTTATGGTGGTGAATCTGTCTTGTTGCGCCTTTTAGTTTGGTAGAAGTTTACCAAAGTTTCAGAGGTCCTTGCTGCCTTCATCATCATGGCGATGGTTAGTGATGGTGACAGCGAGGACCTCTGAAATGTCCATAAACTTCTACTGACTACATGGTGCAAAACCCAGAAGATAGCCATCGTGAAGAAAAGGAATCTTGCTTGAATGTAGATCTGTGATTAGGTCTTGTAGTTTAAATAGAACATCAATCCTGTGATGTTTGATGGTTGACACGTGGATGTGTTGTAAGATCTGTGTTTATGTTCATTGTTTTTATTAATGATGTGATTAATTCTTTCACAGACACTGAGGAAGAAGCTATCCACACAGCATCAGGGAAAACCAAGTTTAACTTGCAAGAAATCATCATAAAAGCTTTGGAGTCAAAGGACAGTAAGGAATTGCCTTTAAAGAGACTGCAGAAAAAGGTACTTGCAGAGTATGAAGCCATGGGTGATGGTAGTGCAGGAGATGTAAAGATGATTGCCAGATTTAACAAAAAAGTGCATAAAATACCTGGTGTGGTTGTACGCAAAGAAGTTGTCAAATTATTACAGTAATTATTACAGACATAATGACTGTTATGACTGCGGTTGCTGGCTGTATCCTTTAGACATTTAAGCAGTGTGAGGTGATGTGGATATATGCATTAGAAATTTTTTTTCTGAGCAGGCCACAACTTTTAAGACCAACCAAAAACCAAAGCTGTTTGGTGCGTGATTTGAGGCTTCAGTGCCTGAATCTTGAAATATTGCAGTAACCCATACCTAGAAGTAGAGAGCTTCTATGTTGATAACATTAAACCTGTCTGAGGAAGCATAAAAGTTTTTAAACATAAAACAAAACATATTTTAACAGAGTTGATTGAAAGTAAAATTGTCTAAGTGAGCGAATAAAATAAAATAAAACATTCAATATTCTTATTTTTACCTGCCTGATAAGTGTACTAATAAAATGTTTTGAAAGTGTTACTGTAGGTGTGTAACAAGACGTCAGTGCTGTCTGATGGCCATTGATTTTAATGTCTTCTTCATGATCTAGTGTGAGCAAAGTATATCTCGTGGGTCCATCGATGTCTGTCAGTAATTTTTCCCTCCAAGCAACTAGGCAACATTAGTACTGTAGGCCTGCACTAAAAGTGGTTAGGTGAATTTAATTGTGTACTTGTTGATCAAATACTTTATGTGAAGCTCAGATTGAACTTCGTTTTTCTCCAGAAAAACTCATTGTGCAGTATATTGCTGGTCGACATAAAGTGTACAAAATCTGTCAAACTGCAACTTTTATTTTAAACTTTTTGTAATGTTTAAGGAATTAAGTAAAGTAAATGAAACGCTGTCCCACTATACACCTTGTAGGCACTCAAAGGGAGAGGCGGTATAGCTCCTATTTATTCTTAGCCTCTGCACTAGATGGGGGTGAGTGGTCAGCTTCACGCCCCAGCTGAGCTTTACCCCCAGGAAAGGAACCCGGTACCCATTGTATAGGAGTCTGGATTAAAGAATGAAGCATAGTACAAATTATGAATCTCGTTTTGTAGTTTTCGCTGTCTGCAGTATATCATATTCCACTCACCACCTACTGCCTATTCCATAGAAGACCCAAGATCCCCGTTGTCATTTTAAGGGAGTTCACCATTTCCAACGATGGATCCCGTACACAGAAATGATATAACCTAGAATGGACGATATCTTGCTCTTATGCAGGCTCCGCCGATAGTTGCTTTGTGGTTGGTTGTTTCCAACCAACATATTTGCCTTGAAGATGATAACTGATGTTTGACGGAACGTTGGATATCTTGACATTCTACGTGGCTCATCCTAGAAAGATTATGTTCTACATTGAACTCCACCCAAGGACAAGAAAGTGGGATGTTGCCGTATTGCACCGGATGCTCAAAGGAAAATCCAGCGTCAGGTAATGAACCACTCTCGCAGTCTGTAAGTCGTTCCTACTAAACATTCTTTGATCGAGAATTCATAAATTCATGGTATACAGCGACAGCAGCTGTTCCATCGAAAAATCCGTTAACATACACCATGCCAGTGTTTTAAGTGGTTATGCTAAAACGGGGGTTGTGAGCTGAGGTAAAGACAGGTGCCTCGGAGGCAGCGTAACTTTGAATTACGGTTGGTCTTAAACTGCTGTTGGGGGATGAGTACCTAGAGGATAAGGGTCAAGTTGTAAGTTGTGCTAATTTGAGACAATGCGTGGCCTGGTGTTGGCTTAAAACTAAGTAGTTTTGTAATTTCAAGTCATTGTGTGTTGATGTAACTCGTGTTTGACATAATTTGAAGTTGAGTTGAAGCTATGTAAGTATCGTAATTATGTACTTGTTTGGAAGTATAGTTTTTCTAGATGTTGCAAACATAGTTTTCTTTCATATTGTTGGTGTAATGCTATGTATACTGCTGGTAACTCTTCCCAGTTTGGATAATCCTAGGCAGTGAGATGCGATAAAGTCTTGCAGATAGCGAACTTCGGCCGTGGCAGATTAATCACCACACGAAGGTAATCTGTTCTCATTCTGCCAAAAATTAACGACGGCCACTTCTCTTTGCAACACACTAAGCCAATACTTCGCTTGTTTTTCGTAATGCTTGGCCGTATGCATGTTAAAATCCTCTCGGGCGACCAGCCTCGTCTCCGTCATCAGGGAATGAATGATTCCTTGGTGCTGGAGAAGAGAGAGTCTCTGAAACGTTTAATGACCTTCCATTTCTCATCAGCCTTTTTCTAGCGGTAGAAGCCAAGTTCCACGAAGGGTGACTCCTAGGATCCGTTAGTGAGATTTGTTCAAATCGAAATTGCATATCTGTTGTCAGAAGAGTTCTGGAAATTATTCTCTCCTTGTTATGAGAGGCACAAGAGAGGGTCGCATTAAAATGTGTTTAAAGAAGTAGTAAGGAAGATTATTAAATGGAATGTGTATATTCAATATATACAGAATTCCCAGAAAGAGGTTTACACAAATTCAGTGAATGAAGTAAATGAAGTAAAGATGTCTTAATAAGCTAAATCATTACAGTCATCAGCATTGGCACTTCATGAATTTGCGAATCTAACGTTGACAGTGGTGAGCAGCTTACTGACAAGCAGCCACCAAATTTTCTGCTGGGACGGCTGCGCAAGACCGTTCAAATTCTTGCCGGAGCTCGTGAAATGTTGCTGCTGGCTTTGTGCTGTACACCGCGTCCTTTAAGTAATTCCACAATAAAAAGTCTGGCGATCGTGGGGCATACTCAACAGATCCTCTGCTTCCTATCCATCGGTCGGGAAATGTGTTGTCAAGATATGCCCTGGCATCATGATGGTGATACTATATGCCCTCATCTCTTACAACTGACGATTGAGGTTAAGATTGCAAATTATAATGTGTATAAATCTTTCTGGGACATACTGCACGTGTGTGTGTGTGAGAGAGAGAAGGTAACATTTCAGATGGTGGAATAAAAATAAAATAATAGCAAGACATCTTCAATAGATTTAACAGACGCAATCTGTTTATAAAACCACTTCCCTTGCACATCAAATTGAACCGTTTCCTGTCCTCTGTTAACATCAGGCATGACGAAATCTTTACTGAACTCCAGGAATTCAAACGCGTTCTGTTGTAATTTCGATCGCAATAATATGAGTAATCTATTATTCGCTGCGTTTGCTGTTTCAAAACTGCAGAGAGCTGCATTGTATCCTGTAATTTCACTCTGTACACACGCTGGATTTTATTCAGACGGACCTTCTTTTAGCATCAATATCCATACTAACGTAAAGTTCTGTTGTTGGAATGCAACGAATGCCGCAAGTAACTCCGAAAAGTAGGTCTAAAAGATCAATGTTTGTGAGGTAACTTAACGCTTAGCATGCCTGAAATTTTCTGATACGTATTACGTTTATCGAAAATGGATATTCAAATGTTTTAAAGAATATTGTGATCTCATATTTTATCTGAAAGAGTGACGGGGAACGCTTTTAATCGTTGAAGGCATGCAGAGAAAATTTTTATACCTTAGCAGCTTTTTTTTGACAGGCTACCTAATACAACCAGAGCTGATCCACAGTAGGGAGGGGGGTCTAACAATTTTCTACATTACAAAACCATTATGCTGCGAAATGTCAAGGCCTTGTACTTGAACGCGGTCTTTGGAACGACATACGTAAGCAGAGTCTAGTTTGTTGACGGATTTGGCTGCTAAGAGTTTGATGATGGTCTTATATGTGTATGTGCCGGTTAATAATCTGGAGATTATTATCACTAGCTGAGCGACTAACAGCTTCTTACAAAGGACTCCGCCAATGAATGATTGGCCATAGGTTGGACGGCTGACGTTCGATTTCGATTAGATGCAGAATTTTTTCTCGTGCCGAACTAAATGCTTTCCCATACGTCTATAAGGCGTGGTTATTAATTAAGCGGCAGGGACAAACCTGCTTCAAAGTAGATACTCTAATGTTTTTTCATGTAATGTTCATAAGTTCCAGTGATTTGTCGTTGTCACTACTTTACTTCCGTACCGAAGTCACTGAACACCACAGCAACACCCTGATGTCTGCATTTCAACGCCTGTAATCCCTTGGCCCAGTTTCTTAGTTCGCCGAGTCGAGTTTCTCTTGTTTCGATTTGATAGTATTGTTTCCTACACGCGATTCATTTGTTTTGTCGATCTGATGATCAGAAATATCAGCATGATAGAGCAGAGTATTGAAATACCAACAACTTTACATTAAATTATACAAATTAACTGCTACAAGAAAACTGGCAGCATTCATCGTCATCAGTGAAACAACCAACATTTTATATTATATAAGATCAATCTTGTGGCATGTGGAATTTGCATTTTTCTTCTGACTAATTGGTGGGTTATGTAAGTATTTTTACTGACCGTTGTGTGATATAACTTCCTCTCAACTAAGTAGAATCTGAAGGTCTCTCGGCGTTGAGTCCGAATATGGCTGTCTTCTGGGACATAGCGCTGTGTAGTCCGGTAGAAGTTTACCAATGTTTCAGAGGTCCTTGCTGCCTCCATTATCAGGGTAAGATAAGTGAACTACCATACTACACGGGGCTACAACCCAGAAGACAGACATCTTTCTATCGACTGTTTAAATCAGTGCTCTACAACCTTTTTCCTCCCACGACACACCATAATTTGTCAAATACACGTGACGACGCACCACAAAATTTCACCTTGCGAAAAGGGGGTACGAAATTCTCCATGGCCATAAATATGTAAGTGCGTAGAAGTACTTCCCCATAATATTACAGGAATATGAAAACAAGACTTATAACTTTTGAGTAAAGCTAACGATAATGAACCTGTGTGCGCACGGGGATTTCTAATTACGAAAGATAAGATATTGCCTCTTTCTTTTTTCTCATTATTCCTTCCTAATATGCAATCTATTAAAAAATTCGCGGGCACTGGGTTAGACGAAGTACAATGGTGAAACTGTAATGGCGAGCTTTAGTAGTGCAAAATGTTAGTAAACTTAAAACCAAATGTCGAACCATTTATTACTTGCGATCGTCGGCAGTTCAATTCCCGGCAAAGCCACTACGGGTTCTCGCTTTACTGCCGTGCCCAGAAATTGTTAAAAATAGGCCACTACAATTGTGAGAATTCTGAAGATTTTATAATGTGTAATTTTCTGTTCGTATTCAGCAGAACGGGGAAGGGTTTGTGTCGGGATAAACTAACTCCTTGGAGGTAAGACCTTGAGAAACTGATAGTCGCTCATCTAGGCAAGTAACTTCTAATGTTTATGGAACCCGAATGTTCATTACCGTGTTCGCAAGAGCCGCACACACAATATCTCCTAACTCCATTTCATATGCGGCCGTGGTCGTTTCAGCAACTGCTCTGCCTACCGAGTCCTAGCCTTGTGAGGGGCGGAAGGAATCCTGTCGTGCAGCCATTAGCTACGAAAAAGGCGCTACCAAATCGCTGCTAATTGAAACAATACCGTGAAGTATAGTGGTTAATTTTAAGTCTCGAAGATGACTGTCTTCTGGGATACTGCATCGCGTAGTCTAGTACATAATGACCGACGTTTCAGAGGTGATTGTTGCTTCCATCTTGAGGACCCTCATTTTAGCAGAGACCAACTGAGATATATTAACACGCAAATGGATCTGTGGGCGCAGATTGGATTGCTCTGGAACCAGACCAGTGGTTGGCTCCCGGTTCATTATCACATTCACCTTTTTTTTATTATTTTTTTTAGTGTTCTGTCTGACGACAGGTCCATATGAACAGGATCCTTCCATCCTTTTCTCGTACTGGGACCTGTTCATATACGTTCTTGGCAGATGATCCAGAAGTGGTTTGCCATTGCTAATTGGTGGGTTATGTAAGTATTTTTACTGACCGTTGTGTGATATAACTTCCTCTCAACTAAGTAGAATCTGAAGGTCTCTCGGCGTTGAGTCCGAATATGGCTGTCTTCTGGGACATAGCGCTGTGTAGTCCGGTAGAAGTTTACCAATGTTTCAGAGGTCCTTGCTGCCTCCATTATCAGGGTAAGATAAGTGAACTACCATACTACACGGGGCTACAACCCAGAAGACAGACATCTTTCTATCGACTGTTTAAATCAGTGCTCTACAACCTTTTTCCTCCCACGACACACCATAATTTGTCAAATACACGTGACGACGCACCACAAAATTTCACCTTGCGAAAAGGGGGTACGAAATTCTCCATGGCCATAAATATGTAAGTGCGTAGAAGTACTTCCCCATAATATTACAGGAATATGAAAACAAGACTTATAACTTTTGAGTAAAGCTAACGATAATGAACCTGTGTGCGCACGGGGATTTCTAATTACGAAAGATAAGATATTGCCTCTTTCTTTTTTCTCATTATTCCTTCCTAATATGCAATCTATTAAAAAATTCGCGGGCACTGGGTTAGACGAAGTACAATGGTGAAACTGTAATGGCGAGCTTTAGTAGTGCAAAATGTTAGTAAACTTAAAACCAAATGTCGAACCATTTATTACTTGCGATCGTCGGCAGTTCAATTCCCGGCAAAGCCACTACGGGTTCTCGCTTTACTGCCGTGCCCAGAAATTGTTAAAAATAGGCCACTACAATTGTGAGAATTCTGAAGATTTTATAATGTGTAATTTTCTGTTCGTATTCAGCAGAACGGGGAAGGGTTTGTGTCGGGATAAACTAACTCCTTGGAGGTAAGACCTTGAGAAACTGATAGTCGCTCATCTAGGCAAGTAACTTCTAATGTTTATGGAACCCGAATGTTCATTACCGTGTTCGCAAGAGCCGCACACACAATATCTCCTAACTCCATTTCATATGCGGCCGTGGTCGTTTCAGCAACTGCTCTGCCTACCGAGTCCTAGCCTTGTGAGGGGCGGAAGGAATCCTGTCGTGCAGCCATTAGCTACGAAAAAGGCGCTACCAAATCGCTGCTAATTGAAACAATACCGTGAAGTATAGTGGTTAATTTTAAGTCTCGAAGATGACTGTCTTCTGGGATACTGCATCGCGTAGTCTAGTACATAATGACCGACGTTTCAGAGGTGATTGTTGCTTCCATCTTGAGGACCCTCATTTTAGCAGAGACCAACTGAGATATATTAACACGCAAATGGATCTGTGGGCGCAGATTGGATTGCTCTGGAACCAGACCAGTGGTTGGCTCCCGGTTCATTATCACATTCACCTTTTTTTTATTATTTTTTTTAGTGTTCTGTCTGACGACAGGTCCATATGAACAGGATCCTTCCATCCTTTTCTCGTACTGGGACCTGTTCATATACGTTCTTGGCAGATGATCCAGAAGTGGTTTGCCATTGCTTCTTCTGTGTGAGTGTGAATGGAGTAATTGTTGGGATGCCACGGAGAAACCGAGGAAGCCCCCGGAGGAAAACTCCGTGTTGCCTAGACCACGGCCTTGCCCAACACAAGTTATAAATTCGGGCACCGACGGGAATCGAACCCGAGACCCCAGGATTACAAGGCCAGCGTTCTAACCTCTAGACCACATTATGTTATGAAGAATGCTTGGACGTTCTCACGAAAGTCAACTAACCATGAAGTTAGTAGATTCAACATGAACAACCACAACAGCTGAGAGAGCATAATTATATCCAGGAACCAATTAACCTTAGCTTCTGTTGGTGGGTCGTGGCTTCTGATTTTGGAAACAACGCTGAGTGACTTCAGTCACGGTCATCTGTGCTCCAGTGTTCCGGAAAATGTGAGTATGAACTGTAGATTGTGGACTAGTTGGTTTTTGTTAACAAGTAACCCACGGGTCCGTGCACAAGTTACAAAATGAAGCTGGTGAACGTAGACATGCAGAATGGTACAAGACGTCAGGAACTATTTATTGGCGTGAACCAACGCAATTGTTCATTACAGGCTTCACACACGTTCACACTGCTGCTAGTTCATAACCAACTGCTGCCCTAGTTTTCCTCATTCTCTCCAGGCCATTTCGTTGAAACAGGGTACTATTGCTTTCCTCCAAGTCCTTATCTACTCACCATTCTTGATCATTCGACTGTATGTAACTTCCATGAAAACCTCAAAGCTCATATTATTCCGAAATTAAGCATATTTATGATTGAAAAGTAAAAAAGAAAAAAGAAAAAATGACATTAGTAATTCAAGAACATTATCAATAACATTTAGAGATTTATTAATGTATGTCTTTCTTTATAATTAAACACAAATTTAAGGGAAAGGTAAAATTGTTATATATATATGAATTTAAAAATTGAAATGTATAATTTTTATAAACAGATATCTAGATTTGTTTGATACATCTGATTATCCAGAATTCCATATTCTATGCAATGGTAAGAAATAAAAAATTATTGGTAAATTTAAAGATGAATTTAATGGAATGAAGATGTTTTACAATGCATGCTTATGAAGTTGATAAAAAGTAAAAAGGAATTTAAAATGTGTATTAAATTAATAAAATAAATTAGGAGATTACAAAAAGTGTTAATTTAGATGTAGAAAGTTATTTTTTAACAAATGTTTCCTAAACTGCACATTTTTATACATTTATACATGAATAGTCATGAATTTTAACTCAACTCAAATGGGTAAGACTACTATGTTATTCCCAGCTACCTAATATCCACTACCATTTAGAACAAAACTACAGTTGACTGATTACAAAATGTTACCAAGTGGCTGCATGGTGTAACATAATTTACTGAAACTAATGCACTATTTTCCACCATTCAAAAGAAATAAATATCACAGAACTTGGATTAATATAAACATGAATTATTATATTAGAAAATGAGAAAATTCACAATTTAATGGCCACTGCAATGTAAGGAATATTTACAATATATAATAGGTGCAGAATAGGCAACAGAGTGCTTTTTCTTATTTTTTTATTTTATTTTATTTTGCACACGTTAACCAAGTATTGTAAATGACTTGTCAAGTTTACAGTGTTTAATAAAAAATTGCATGAAAGTTTTAAATTATCATTAATACTTAAACCCATAAAAACAAATTTTTCTGCATTGTCTTCAATTGATTATTCATTTTTAAATACTTCAAAGTAATATTTCTTGACAATTTGTGTCAAGACCTTTTTGGAAGGCATATTATGTCTGAATTACGTAACAATTGAAAAATTATACCTAACCAAGCAAATATACTTTCTACTACAAGAAACACTATTTCACTTTATCTGAATTTGGTAATTTACTTCTGCTTGTTGCCTTCTGTCATGAAGATATGATTTAAACCAATGACCAGCTATATTTAAAATAACATAAAAATTTAGTTTTGATATTAATAATTAATAATTTATACAATCAAATGCTTTAGAAAAATCACAGGTTATTCCAGTAACATGCATTTTATTATTAAGAGCACTGAAGATTTCATCTGTAAAATTGAAAAGGGCTTTATCAATTGAAATCCAAGTTGCAAGGACATTGTTTCAGGTTAAAAAGTCACTTACATGACTTTCTCAAATATTTTAGAGAAAGCTGTTACTAATGAAACTGGTCTGTAGTTAGATATGCACAATTTTTCACCTTTCTTATATAGGGGTTTAACCTTTTAATGTTTAAGTTATTCTGGAAACACTCCTACTGCTATTGATTATTATAAAAATAAATTAAAGGGACACATAGTCTGCACAGCTTTTGAGTAAATTTGTTAATGTTTCATCACAACCACATGAATTTGTTTTTATCATATGACATATTTTCATTTTAGTGTAGATGCTATGACCAGTTGTCTTTATTTCTAGGGTTAATTTCAGTGCAAACAGAGATATATTCGGCCCTTACACGCATGTAGAAGTCATCCAAAGATGTGTGGGTGAGATGCTTGGTACCTTTGCCCTCGTGTTTCTGGGCTGCATGGGTGTTGGAGTGCACCATCTAAATCCAAGTGTTCCTGAACATTACTTCATCGCATGCTTTAACTTTGGCCTCGCAGTAATGGTACCCATCTTGGTAAGTAGGTTTTTTGTCTTGTCTCATACTGTATGAACCATACCGAAGGCCTTAGTAGGCTGGCCATGCCTACAGCAGCATCTCTAAATAATCAGTTCTAAGGTTTTAACGCTTACAATCAGACTTCTTTCTGTTCTGATCTTGTTTTTATATTTACAATAAGCCATCTGGTGTAGAAATGGGTAAAACAGGTCGTTTATAACTTATTTTTATGGGGTACATTTTGTTACCCATTAATTTTGTTCACCTATTAATTACATAATTTGTGCAATAAATATTTTTTAATTTGAAATCCTGTCTTGTTTCAATATTATATAGAATAATAAACTAGAGGGAAGTAAGGTGAGCAGGACGAGAAATGTGTTCAAGAGTTTGGTTGGAAAGCCTGAAAGGCCTAATATGGTTCAGGCTAAGAACCGATGGTGGGCCTTTGTGAGCATGGTAATGAGCCTTCAAGTTCTGCAAAAGGCAAAGGTTTTCTTGACTAGCTGAGAAATTATCAGCATCTCAATCAGAACTTGCTCCTTGGAGTTAGTTACTTAGTTATACTTTTATTATTGTGGTTTGTTGAGAAGTGCGTAAGGTTATTAAATAGAATGCAAATTCTAAAAGTATATTCATGACTTACAAATCTAGAGGCAATAACAGAGTGTTATATCAGTGTTGTTTTGCTATGCATACATTATCTAACGTGTTATATTTTAGAATAATTAGCTTTGGTACAATTACATACTTTTTATATTGAGGTTGGACCCAATCATTATATAATTTTAATTTTGTGACAGAATATGTTTATTTTAATTACAGTTGATACCAAGTTTAAAAATAATTGCCTGTGACAATTATATCAACACTTCATGACCTCACTGAATAATTTACTTATTATATAACTGTATAAAATGATAATAGTTATCAATTTATTCATGTCATAAAGTATTCTTCTCATTAAGGCCAACAATATTTATGTGCAACACTTTGTAAGGAAAATATTTAACAGAGTACTAGGAAAAATGGTTCCTCCTGTACAATATATCTGCTGTTTGATTAACTTTGCAACAGTCTATCTGCATTTGCAATAAATTAATGTCAAGCCAGTGATCTATACAAATCAGAAATTAACGAATTTGCAAGACTGCTGCTCCTTTCTAATGTTGTGTCTGTTGCAGATTGTGGGCCATATCAGCCAGTGCCACATGAACCCTGCAATCACCCTGACGGTTGTCATCAGTGATGTCATGAAGCCGGCCCTTGCTGGCCTGTACATTATCTCCCAATGCATAGGTTCAGTGCTGGGCTACGGTGTTCTTTACGTGGGTATTGTTGCAATCTGAGTTATATTATGTGCATGTAAAATCTCTGGGTGTAGATAAAATAAAAATGTTTTTAAATAGCAGCTCTTAACTTTTACAGCTCAGAACTTGGCTGTAAATAAAGATGAAAGATTGTTATTAGGCCTTCCTGGGATCAACACCCCTCTCCCATTCACTCAGATATGGAACAGTCCATAATGTGAGGCCATATTTCTCCACAAGGTGTTCAGCATATCTGGTGTGATTTCCTGGAAGATTGTTGAAATATTTGCTGTCAAGTCTTCAGTGGTCTTGTCCATTCTGCACTAAGTGTTCTTTACTAATCCAAACACAAAAAAATGTGTGGTGAACCTGAAGACCTCCGCTACCACACCAGTTGTCACTAAATATTTTGTCCGGTGTGGTTTCATGATTATTCATATTTCCCGATCTAGTTTGGCAGGTCCAAGTGTGGTGCCCTGTGCTGCATAGAAATGGCCTGTACACACCTAGAGTGTCATTCCACAATTTTGGACTTTCCACTTTCATTATGGAGCCATATCACAGAATTTTTGCTGCACCACTGTTACATTCTAAAATTTTCTAAACACTGTGCATTTGAGGTCACTTTCTCTTTCTCTGGAATTACATCATGTGCATATACAACAAGTATTATCACATAACAAATAACTGAACGTAATAGCCACACATGCAAAAGATTAGTGAAGTTCTGCTTATTCATTAATTATTACAGCATTTTAACTTTTTCCCACACACAAATTTATCTACTTTTATTATCACAGTAAAGCCTGGACTAATGAAAAATGGGCATTTAACTGAATAAGTTTTTAAATATATTACTGAGATTGTTGAAACTGTGCTAAGGGTTATATCACCTTCATGTGCATTGAATGCAGTTAATCATCTCAGCTGGCATATCTCAGTCAGTACAGTGACCAGCTACGGGCTAGATGACCAGGATTTGATCCCCAACAGGGGCAGAGGATGTTTCCTCTAGCCTCTGCGTCCACACTGATTCTGGGTCTCACCCAGCCTCCTACCCAGTGGGTACCGGGGTCCTTTCCTGGGGGTAAAGCGTGGCCAGGGCATGATGTTGATTACTCACCCCTATCTAGAGCTGAGGTCAAGAATAAGTAGAAGCTATACACTTCTCCCCCCCAAGCGCCTACTTCGAGTATAGTAGGACAGCTTTTACTTAATCCTCTGGTGAGTAAAATTTGGAAAGCAAATGTTGTTTTTAATATGTCAGTGCTGATATATAATTTCTACACATGAAATAAAGAAATTACTTCAACTAAAAGGAAATATCTTGAGAAATGTTTAAATATTTTATAAAATAAAGATGTTTTAGCAGAAGTAACTGATGTTTCTGAGAGAAATATCTCCTTCAAAGGAAGTAAATAATTTCTTGTTCATTATTGTTACTGATACTAATACGTACCATTAGTTTTACTATTATTGGGCCTGCAACGACAAGTTGTTGGGGATAATTACATAGTGAAGACTTTATATTGTTATGATTAGATCAAGAGACTTAAGATATAGGGCCTAGAATATGAATAACATAATTAAAAATGCTTGAAAATGTTTGGCTGAATACTATTATATATGAAAATGAGTTGATGCAAAAATGATTTTAATTTGATCTTGAGGAAATGCACTCTCTAGCTATGAACTGAACTGACCAAAAATCATTGATGAGATTTGATTTCAGTGATGTTGAATCTTCAGGCTCTACTACCTGATGGTTAGTTAGTGAGCCAGTTAATTAGTTACTTGAAGGTTGTTACAGTACTTGTTTCTGTTGTTTCAGGGTTTGACCCCCATGTTCCATAACAAAAATCCTCCAGTCTGTGTCACAGTCCTGCACAAAGAACTGAATGTGTTTGCAGGAATGGCTATGGAAGCCTTTTGCACTGGACTCCTTTGTCTGGTGGTCTGTGGAGTTTTGGACAAGAGAAACGCCCACAATACTGATTCTACAGCCATAAAGATTGGCTTGACAGTATCCAGCCTTGCTCTAGTGGAGGTCAGCCTTCACCAAGATGGTCCTATCATTGACACTTATCAACTGACACACTATTGACTGGGTAGCTGTCATGGATCCCCCTTGTTCTGTGACTTGTTATCTGCATTGAGAAGTGTGTTTCCAGAGGTCCTCAGGATTGCACTGATTAACTTCTCTGATACCAAGTTCATTTTATTAAGATCACAAACCCAGATGTTTTTAAATAACTACTTACAACAGAAATCCATGGAACCTGAACACTTTTCTGTTTAAGACAGGTTTTCAATTAACACAGGATTTTGCTTCTATATTAAATAAACAGTTGATAATAAATACCCACATATTTATGATTCAAATGTAAGTTATCTATCAGTCCATTTCACTGGTTTAAATAAATACTAGTGCCACTTTCTTCCCCTTGTTTTGTATATTTCAGTTAACTTTTAGTACATATGTGTATGTGTACTGTGTATTCATTTGCTACAATGCATTTCCAGTTATGTTTATTTTATCAGTTACTGATTGTCAGTAATTAAAATACCTAATTAAATTGATGGGAAATTTATTTCCCATCAATTAATTCTGATTCATGAATGCATTCCCTTCTTTAAAAAAATTAATGTGATAACAAAATTGTCGTGAATTTGTCTTTTCAACATGTCACATATAAGCTGAGTACCTAATGTATTAGCATGTCTAATTATTAAAATGAAATGAGTTTCCATTTGACAAGCTTCCATAAAATACATTAGTTAAAAGCACATTTTCTGCATGTTATAGTTTTAAGTTCCAATGTTTGGTGTGTAAAATTACACATTGGCATGTGGATTGTGTTCAGAAACAGCAAAGCAGCATAGAAGTTCAGGTTATTAATTGTGTTTTCTTTTGCAGGCTCCCTACACAATGGCAAGTTTCAATCCAGCACGATCTCTTGGCCCATGTGTCTGGACTGGCCACTGGGAAAATCATTGGGTTAGTGCAGAAGAAAAATTTAGTTAAAATAGAATCTGTGAAATAATCTGTTGTAAATTACATATATTTGGTAAAAGCTTCCTGTTTTTTAGTTTTTAAAATCTGGTCACCCTGCGATATGGCTTAATACCCTCTATAGTCTTTGTGTTCAGTAAGAGGAGCTGAAGTCAAACATACCTATAGACTAATTTTACTTTTTGAAGGAAAGAATGTTGATATTGATGTATGTAGTCTGCATTTGAAACTTCACACTTGTTTTTAAAGTAAATAGTGCAGTACTGAGATTATTCTTATTTTTTAAACAGAAAATAGTTTGACATATTTTGTTCTTCTCACAGAAATCTCTCCCATGACAGAGACTTTTGAGCTACAGTTTGGAAATCACTGATCCAAACAAATTACTTCCTAGATTGTAGAAGAATTCCTCTTCTATTATTTGTTCTTTGCACAAAGAGCACAAAATGAATGCATGTAGGGGAGGAGAACTATTGTCCATCCTCTCATTTTATTCCTAAATATAATGAACAGTTTTAGATTAAATTTTGCACTGTGCATCAGCAATAGAAATTTGAGGGATAATTTAATTTTGGAAAGTAGGAATCCAATTTAACACCTTCTTGAATGGAGCTAAAACTTAATTTCATCAATTTTATAAAAACAGTGTCACTGAAAAAAATGGCACATTATGTAAAACTTATGTTGATACCTCTGTAATACAATTTTTATTTGAAATTGTTTTTCACATGACCAATATACAGTGAATCACAACTGAAAATATTATCTGTGTAACTTGCGTGCAGTAACTTGGATATCGAGGTCACTTATGTCTAAAATTGCAGCAAAACAATAAAAAAAATATATGTATGCTTTTGGAGAACATCTTCACATTCTTGTTTTTCTAATGTTTATATTTGTACTTAAAAAAACTTTCATCACCAATCATTCAGTTTCAGACAATGGCATATTCTAGAGAGTTTAACAACTAGGATTGTCATAATTGTGGCAGGTATTCTGGGTGGGCCCCTTGCTTGGCAGCACTGTGGCAGCAATGTTCTATAGATTTGTCTTCTTCATTCCGAAGAAAGTGGATGTGGAACTCCAGTCATAAGACCAACTATGGAAGAAGCTTCTCACCCTACACAACAGGAGATCCAGTAGAATTATTCATGCAGCTCAGGTATAAAACTTATATAAATGCAATGTGTAAGCATTAACGAACAGAAATTTACACTCCAAAATTTATTTAGGTGGTTATGCATACATTTTTGTTATAATGAAATTACAAATGCTCTGCTCATGTGTGTATCTGAATGGCTGTGTTACTGACCACCAGCAGGAAGCTGGAAGAACAGTATGACATAGAAGAGAATATTTCTGTCCAAGGAATGAAGACAGTGATTTGTGAAATGACAGACATTAATCCAAGAAACAGTCAATTGTAACAGTGTGAAATAAATCCATTTTGTTTTTTTTAGCAAATAACCCAGAGTGTAATTACAGATTATGTACCAGTATGAAAATGAGGCATACATCACTCACAATTTTACAGAAAAATTAAATTGGTTACTTCCCAGATGCCCTATATTTATAACGAACAGCACAAATATAGGTGGTAATGACTAATGAAATTACCAGCCAGTCACTTAATGACATGGGAGAATCCTTTATGTTGACATCATCACTCAGCCAGATGCCCCACTTGCAAATGTCATTGACCCAAGACAGCTGACAACACTAGCACCATTTGTTAAGATGAAAGGCCTAATTCTAGAGGATACTTCAGAATTGTTATGCTGTGCTTAAACTTCCTAAATTTCTAAAGAATGGCCTGCAGTTCTTTGCAGCATACGATTTACAGGCAAAACCCATTCATGTTTGGCTAATTGTGTTAAGAAGCAGAATATATGTCTGGGCACCAATGAAATAATAGACATAAGTGGAAGATGCACTGATTTGCCTCTTGGTGTTATTGGACCAAGGATTCTGTGAATTCTAATCCTACCCCCATCTCCTTGAAGAACAGTTTCTCCCATTCATGGAAGGATAGGTATTATTTTAGAGGAAACATTTGTTTCAACTGGTTGGTGTTTGACTACATTCAGAATTGCAGTGTTGCATGTTCTCAGTGAGCATTTCCAAAACTAAACTGTCTAGATTCATGTTTTCATGCAATATAAATGTATATGGTGGTGTTGTGGATTGCTGCACCATGTTGCATCTTGTCTGTGTTTCATTGTTCCAGATGAATGCAGTGACTTCATCTTAAATCCTGAATATTGCATTCCAAGGCATATGAGCACCATTTATGGATTCTGGCTAATTTACTTCCTGCAAAGTTTAGTTTTAATTAATTCAGTGGTTTATTGTTCTGGGGCTTCCTTAAAGATACTGTTTATAGACACAGTAACCTAGATACATAATTCCATAACTGAATGAAGCAAAATATTTCAACTACTGTGATCAGCATCAGTGAACACAGACTGGTTGGGGAAGTGCAAAGTCTAAGATAACTTAAAATTGTTTTGTATTCTATTGGTACTAACTAATTAAATGGCTTACTGAACCCGAAGGTTCATCACCGAATTAACTAAAGCCCTCCACCGGACCCTGTCCTGAACCAACAAAATTCATTCTCCTTCAACTCCTATCTCCCATAGATCCCACCTGAGATTATCCTACCATCTGTGTCTAGATCTCCCGAGCGGTCTCTTCCCTTCAGGCTTCCCAACCAGTAACCAGTGCACACCTCTTGTCCCATCTATGCGCGCTACATGCCCTGCCCATCTCATTCTGACAATATTGGGGCAGGAGTACAGATTTTTAAGCTCATCATTATGCAGTTTTCTCCATGCCCCATCATCTTCTCTCCTAGGCCCAAATATCCTCTGCAACACCCAATTCTCAAACACCTGCAATCTGTGTTCCTCCCTCTGAGTGAGTGACCATGTTTCGCACCCATACAAAACAACATTGGAACAGATATTGAAAATATTTTCACCCGGTTTTCACTCGCCCAAGACATCTAACATAATTATGTTTGTCATTCATTTCAGTACATATGTGCAGGTAATCTTCTAAAAACCCTTCACAAAATCTAAAAGTTGATGACAGTATATTACACCTGATATTTCTAAACAGACTGCCATGAATGACATACCTAAAGTAAATGAAATTCATTTTCAATTTTTCATGTGTAGTAAATTTATTCAAAATTGCATCAGTAGTCTTGGAGATGTTCTAAAAAGTTGTGCCTCTAAATTACTTGACATTTTTATTAGAATCAACAGAATTTAATTGTTCTCAATGCTGAATTTCTGTCATGAACAGGGCATTTTGAAGTACATATACCAAACACAATTCATAATTTAGCTTTGCGGTGAGACATCAGTTTTTAGATGTTCCTTGTGCTGTCATTAGTGAAGAACAACTTATGGATTTATTCTGTCTATAAACTCTTTTGGACAAGATACAAGATCAGGCTGTCATCTGTTGGTGTTCTGATTGGATTTTCATTAACTTTGGTGTGGAAGTGATGGCATTAGAGGCTTCTCCAAATAGGCATTTCTTAATTTCCTTCAATCTGTAATACCAGAAAAAATAAAACTAAAGTGGCAGATGCAACTGAGGCATGAAGCAATTCTTGACCATGAACATCTCAGATTGATGTCATCGCTCATGACTGTGTAATCACACGTACATACTTAACACCTTGAGAAATGCTAAATTAATTTAATTAAATTTGGCATGGATGGATACCATTGGATGTTTCTCAAAATTATTCTCACAATTTCATCCCCAGCGCAATGTTATTGTTTATGGCAGCTTAATATGACTGACATTCGGTTTCATACATCAACTCATAAACTGGCAACATCACCATTGTGTTCTAAAAAAAACAGTTTCAATGCAAGAAATTTGCATTGTCACTTCACAACAAAAAGTGAATTTCATGCAAATAACCCATTACAATTTGTTTAAAAAAACAATGTCAGAAGACATCAAGAATATACTGATGACCAGGATTAAATGCAGTCCAGAGAGATATGCATAGACTGATATATTCAAAACAGTAAAAGATTATTTCACAGTAAAAGATATTTCTTGGGCAAATTGCATTGGCAGATGAGCAACAGTTTTGATAGGACACAAAAAGGCTTTCAAGCTGAAATGCAACAAATTGGTCCACAGGTGTACTTCATATAGTTTAAAATTAATCGAACGGCTTTAGCATCAAATTACATTCTGTGCTACACGAGGTGGTGAAAATATTGAACTTTATAACATATCGCCCTTTAGTCTGGCTTATTTGAAATTTTGTGTGAGGAAATACAGGCAGATCACAAGTTCATTTTCTTGCATCGGAGGCAAGGTGGTTATCAAGGGGCAAAGTTACGCTTAAAGAAGTAGGCAAGCTTTTACAGGCCTCTGGTTCTCTGCTATACTGACACTTTTTAAACAAGAAGTGAGCTGTTAGATATAATAAGCTCAAGGAACTGAAGTCTCATCAAGTACCAAATGCAATCGTTTTACAGCTTTTTGGCATTTATGTAAAATACGATGCTATGGAAAGCCTTTATGAAAATGACACTCTTGAAATGTTTGTAAACACAAGTGAATACATAGAATATGATTGTGCATTTTAAGAAATTAAACCTCATGTTCTAACTCATCTCACTAATCGTGAGATCAGTTTTAAGACTCGCTTTTCAAAACTAACTGTTCAGCAACATGAATGAGTGCGAAATCCATATGCAATCATAATCGGTGGGAAGGTAAGTCACCTTTCTACAAAAGTTAGGGTTCAGCACTGAGCGTACACCTACAACACAGAAGAATTCACCGCAACCGAAAATTCTCAGGTATTATAAATACATGTAAGCAATAGCGGTTATGGTTTCTTGGGTGATTATTTTTGCGGTAATGCTGTAGTTGACTGAAAACTGTCATAATAATGTAATTTATATTTGTATTACAAAAAAGTATTTTATTTGCATTTATTGTTCTCCATTCTTGGCTTGGACCCGTGAAAGATACGTGTAATATATTAATTCTAGAAGATATCCGTCTTCTGGGTTCTATTCTGTTCTCTTATATTATATTGTAATGCATACGTTTAGCCTCTGTAAGTCATATTTTGCAATATTTCCTGTTAGTGTATTTTAATTTCTTGGTTTATTATTAGACTGAGCATTTAGGTAAATATGTCATTTATGTTTGCGAGATCTTTTGATGCCTTTCTCATCTGCAACGTGATAGCATTGTTCTGAAGAGCATTTTTATTTCAAAATTGAAAACCACGGATAGCTGCAGTCGTTTACATATCTGTGCTTTTGAACGAAGTTGGTTGACCGTGAATATTGTTTTGTTATGCTGTAAACTGGAAGGGTAGCGCTATGTTTAAAAATACGTTTCAGAGTGGATTTTTATCAATTTTGTACAGCATTGGAAGCAAGCCTTTACAAATTTGGGATAAGAAAGTGAGAAATGGGCATATAAAAAGAATAACTGACAATGACATTCAATCGTTGGTCCTGGAAATTGTTGGAACCAACGTTAGCACCACCTACATAACCTGTCCAGCTGACCCTAAGAAAACTCTTGGCATCAAGCTACCCTTCTTGGTTATGATCATAAAGAATTTAAAGAAGTACTTTACTTTTGAAGTGCAGGTATGTGCTAGTAAATGCAGGTTGGACTTATTATGTAGCATTAATAGTCATATCTGTTAGGTTCCGAGGGTTAAGGTACAATATCGGTACATTTGCGAAAGCTGTGTATTTATTTAAGAGTTTTGGTCTATGGATAAGACAGGGTGTTATTTCCTCCTTAATTTGTACTATTTTACACATGGTGTCTTTTCTTCACCCACTTCAGGCAAGTCTGAAAATATATTTTCTATAGTAGGCATTGGTTTAAGGAAAGATTAAATGGTTATGAGTGTATTTGTTGTTCGTATTTAAGGGATTAATTATTTGGCTAAACCTTACATGCCATGGGATGTGTTTTTGTAAGTAGTCTGATGGAGTAAGGAAGCACCACTCTTGTATGTTAATCTAAGTGAAGCGCAATGGATAATTTTACAGCAACACCTTGGACTTTGTAGAAAAGCTATTTACTGAAATTACTATCTGCTGCTCTGATATGATGCTGTGGACTTCACCTAAATAGCATTTACTTACCACTCTCCTGCTATCATGAAAACTGTATGTGATAACAGGTAGAGATGCCAACGTAGAACTGAAGTTTAGGTAGTTTATGGTGTCATACAAGTGCAGTAAGATCTTTTATTTGTGCCACTACAATTCCTTGAACCTTTCAGACAGAACAATTAAATGTTTCTCCCATCAGCTTGGTCCTGCAGATGTTCAAACTGGTAACAACTGACAAATACATTGCACATATTACAGATAAAACATTCAGATAATAGCAGATGCTGGAAATGCTCTTCCTTGTTGTACATGCATTTATGGCATTGAAGTTTTTGGAAAATGGAGAAAATTTGTCTCTGGATATTTTTTTAATTTCTTAAACATCTGAGTGATCTGTAAACTTCTTTCTTTGTGATTCTCCATAACTGAAAGACATGGTTTTATATGGGAGGAGCATGCTGGCCACAAGTCACCATCAGTAATTCTGCCATCATATACTTCCTAACCATGTCCATGGATGGCCTTTGCTCTGTGCAGTGGTAGAGTATTATTGAAAGAACATACACTGTAATTTTGTTGTCTGTTAACTGCTTGAAAAATGGGCAGCTGATCTGCTGTGCTTAACCCCTCAGAATTCATTGTGCCCCTGAATAATATTAGTCACTTTATCCTGTCTGTACCCTCACTGCATTTTACACTGGTTTCAGAGACATGTAGTAGAACTCCAAGCATTAATCTGGGATTGAATGATGATGTCTTGGTCACACAGGTGGTTACATTAGTGGCATGAGGAGATGTGGCCCATAATTGCATAAGTTTACAGTTTCACTGCTAGAAATTCTTAACTGTATTTCTGACTGCTTTATTTGCCATTAGTTTCCTTAAATTATTTTACATTATTCAAATATATACTTATGTAGTATGCAAACCATAATATAAAATTTGTGATTTGTAGATGGTCGTCTTCTGTGTTGTATGCAGAGTTTAGTTTTTAGCTGTATACCAGTGTTTCAGAGTACCATACTGTCTCCATCTTCAGGGCTGAAATAAGGAGGGTTATGAAATGGATGCTTTATATTGGGTTAGGAGGGCTATCATGTCAGAAGATGGGCAATTTGGAATCATGTCTGAGCCAGTAGGAAAGCACCTTTTCAGGGCACCACAGACAATGGCTGGGTCAGGGGAGAGGGAAGTGAAGAAAAGAAATACCATCTCTTTTAAGGGCCCAGAAAGAAATGTTAAAATCTTGTTCTTGGTGAGAATTTTGTTTTATTCGTGCAGCGTGCTCCCTGCTGAGGGAAATACATTTCTGTTGATGTCTTTAGGCTGGAATTCAATCTCTTTCACTTCTATGGTGATTCTTTGTATCTGGATTTCATGGCCAGGATACTGGTCTCGTGTAGCATAGCAAATGAAAGGGGTGAAATGAATCTTCAATTTCAGATAAATATGTGATATTAATAATTTATCTCCTATTTTTATTACATTAATTCTTGTTTTCATTGCTTCTTTGTGTACATTGTGTGTTGTTGATGAAATTTTGTGATTTAGAAAGGGCTTGTAATCCTTTTAGAGGTTTTCGAGCATATGTAGTCTAAATTGTAATCATTAATATATGTGCTGTGTAGCATTTGATTTAGTGTAATATTTTAATATTTTTATGTTAATTCTGTATCATTTGCCAAACCTGATTAATTTTTTAAATTATATTCATCTGTATGTTTTGTACTTTATGACTATAGTCAGTCTGACTAAGTTGATGGATTTTTAAGGGTGATAAAAATCTGTAGCACAACTTTCTTTGGAGGGGAATTAAAGCTGGCAGTCCCATGTTGTAAATTTATGGCATGTAAAAGAACCTTATGAGCATGAACAAGATGTTTCATAAGCAAAATTCAGTGGTCATTTCTCACCCATGTCTGTCCTGATTCTCTACTGTATGGCTCTAGCAGACAGAAATCAGGATTAAGTATAAATTGTGGCGAGGCAGCAGGCTGGTAACTCACTACTCAGAGATGCACACTTCAGAGACTAAGATACCTCTGAAAGGAGGTGGCAAAGACCCACACTGGGTTGTAGAGCCAAGGAAGAAGAAGGAGATATATACATATAAAATTTCAGGAAACCCAGACATAAATTGTTTATTTGTTCATAAATCAGTTGTTGTTGTTGGGTTTTATACACACACATGCTACTAGCATTGTTCACTTGGTCAGTGAAACAACCTGTGCTTTTGATATGAAAGTTGTAAAAAAAAATATGGGTGTTGATTGTGGTCTTCTGGATTGTAATACCATATGGTGTTGTAGGTGGTTCCTGAGGTTTTCACGGAACATACTACTTTCATTTTCAGGAACATTTGACAATGAAGAAGGCTGCCTTGAATCCCAGTCCTGATTCATATAAATTACTTCTTCCCAAAGATGGAGGTGGTGTGTTCCCAAAGAATATTTGTACAGTATAACCACTTAGAAGACCATAATCAACATTTTCACTGTGGTAAGAGCCTCACATCTGAGAAACAACATTGATGATTTTTGTATGCAGTGAAAGAAACTGTATGTGAACTTTGCAGTAATCACTGTTTTTGAGGTTCTTCTCAGTCTCACCAGGCAAATATCAGGTTTATACCTTAAATTAGGGCAAGACCATTTCTGGCACATGTTTATCAATTCATTTTTCACTAATTATCTTGTCAATCATTCAGTGCTGTGTAACATAGGCAGTTGAAAGCATCATTAAATAAACCAACAATAAAGAAGTTATGCCACGTTGAATTTCCCCCAACAACACAAGGAACTTGATCACTGTCCTCACATCTGGATGCTTGAAACTTGCTTGCATCCATATTTGGTCCATAACACAGCATGTTATGGGTGTTTGCAACTGATGCACTGCCTGCTTGCTCTGTGAAGTTCATACTAATGCTACACGTGGCAGGATTTCACTTGTGGAAGCAGTTACAAGCTGGTGCTACCATACAGCAAGCTTCTGAAGTAACCGACATAGGTATACAGTTTTGTGATGCATTTCCAATTTACAATAGATTAAAAAAAATTCTATCCTCACTGTCTTCCAGTTTTGCTGTTGCATATACCATTAGGAAAGTGGAAACAAAAATGGTATAACATTTTGTTGACAACTCCCTTAGAAAGTTGCAGCTTGAGAGACTAACAATGAAATGGTGAGTCTTTTGAGGAAGTAGGGTGTGTGGGGATGGGTTTCGTTATTATTGTATATTCTGGCATATAAGACAATTTGGTACACAAGACAACTGTAAATGTTCAATTAAAAATTTAAGTTTTTGGCTATATTTGCCAGATAAGATAAAATAACTATATTGTCAAACCAACATGCATTTAGATCCTAATAGTTGGCTGGATTTCTGCTTGGCTCTTGTTTTTGCCCATGTTACATCAACAGGTGTGAATGGTGTGTGGGGTTGAGTTCATCCTGATGACTCATCAGTTATGGTAATTATGGCCACGCCATCCCACCATACATTATTTTATTATAATCTCCATGAGATAACAAAATTGATTTTAACTGTTTCTTTCCAGATTTTAGATGATAAGAATGTACGCAGACGCTTTAGGGCCAGTAATTACCAATCCACAACACGGGTAAAACCATTCATCTGTACAATGCCAATGAGGTTGGATGATGGGTGGAACCAGATTCAGTTCAACTTGGCCGATTTTACTCGCCGTGCCTATGGCACTAATTACATAGAAACTCTTCGAGTCCAAATTCATGCAAACTGCCGTATCAGACGAGTATACTTTTCAGATAGGCTTTACTCTGAAGATGAACTACCATCAGAATTCAAACTTTTCCTTCCAATTCAGAATAAGGCAAAGACATGAAGATTAATCACAAGGCAGTAAAGAGTTCGGTGTTGCCTGGCAAGTGGAAAATAAAATATAAGTAATGTATTTCACATTTTACTATAATGAAATAAAATTATAAACATTTTGTATTTTATTTAAATATGATTAAATGTCTATATCTTGTATTGTGTACAATTGTTCCTGCAAGTTTATTTTAATTCACTGTCACAGTTGGTACCTGAAGTGGAGGAAATTATAACATTTGGAGATGTTGGTTGTACCTTAAATGATAATATTAGGAGTTGCTGAAAGTTTCTTAAATTATAATATTTGGAGATGTTGGTAGTATCTTAAACGAAAACATTTGGAGATGTTGATAGTACCTTAGATGTAACAGAATTAATTGCTTTAACTGCTTACCCCATCAGGTTGATGATTTTTGGAAGAAGAAAAATGTGATACATTTCCTCTTCAGAACGATCTGAAATATGAAGATGCTTTATCACCATTACTTTTCAACTTGGTGTAGAATATTCCATCATGAAGTTCCAATGGAACAGAGGAAATGAAATTGAATGGGACACATTAACTTGTTTTATGCTGATGATATTCGTTTATTGGGTGTGAACATAAATAAAGACACAGAAGTTCTGTTACATGCTAGTAAGGAAGTTGGTCTAGAAGTAAACACAGAGAAAACAGTGTATGTTCAGTTTTGTCTCCAGATTTCAGGACAAAATTAGTAGATAGCTAATAACTAACTAACTAGATGGCATAGGGAACCCCAAGGTTCATCACTGAATTAACCAATGCCCTCAAACTGTCCCTACCCTGGGCCAGCAAAATCCAATTGCCTTCAACTCCTATCTCAAATAGATTCTTTCTGGTATTGTCCTCCCATCTACGTCTTTCCAGCAGTCTCCTACCTTTAGGCTTCCCAACCGATACCCAGTGCACAACTCTTGCCCCCATCCATGCATGCCACATGCCCTGCTAATCACATTTTTCTTGACTTGATGACCCTAACAATGTTGGGGAGGAGTACAAATTTTTAAGCTCATCATTATGCAGTTTTCAATATACCTCATCCTCTTCTCTCCTAGGCCCAAATATTTTCCTCAACACCCTATTCTCAAACACCTGCAATCTGTTTTCCTGGCTCAGAGTGAAAAACCATGTTTCGCAACCATACAAAAAACAACAGGCAAAATTACAACTTTCATATTTTAATCTTTAGGTACTTAAAAATCAGACGGGAAGACAATATATTTTGAACTGAAAAGTAGCTAGTATTTCCAGAATTTAGTCTCCTCCTGATTTCCTCATGAATATAATTGGGATTTATTATTGCTGTTCCCAAATATTTGAACTTTATCACACTTTCAAAGGATTTATTAGCCACCCTAACATGATTTGCCTGCCTGTCTGCTGATGGGATACTAACACATACTTAGATTTTTCTAAATTTATTTCTAGGGCCACCTTTCTATTAGCTTCTAGGAAAACTTCTGTGTTCCTCTTTTTTGTATTTATATCATTGCCCAATAACTTAACATCTTCAGCATATGCCAACAGTTGATGTGTCTCATTCTGTTGCAAACTCTCCTGCCTATCTTGGACTTTTCTGATGGTGTATGCTAACGCAAAGTTGAAGAGCATTGGAGACAAAGCATCTCCTTGTTTCAGACCGTTCTTGATGGAAAATGACAGATAAATATTTACCTGACGAATTTTGTTACTGGTTTCATTTAAGCACATTTGTATTAGACTCACTAGCTTTGGTATACCAAATTCAATGAGAATATTGTATAACACTTCTCTCTTTACAAAGTCATAGGCTTTTTTGAAATCTGTAAATGACTGATATACAGTCCCATTGTACTTCCATTTTTTCCCTTGTATCTGACGAATGCAGCATATCTGATGAATTGTTGATCTGTTACACCTGAACTCACACTGATTATCCCCAATAATTTCATTCACATATGGAGTTAATCTAGCCAGAAGAACGTTTGATAGAATTTTGTATGAGGTTGATAGCAGAGAAATTCCTTGGTAATTGCTACACTCAGTTTTGTCCCCTTTCTTATGAATGGGAATAATTATGGTTTCCTTCCATTGTTGTGGGATCTCTTTGTTATCCCAAATTAACTGAATATGCTTATGGATCTTCTTATGCAACTTTCTGTCACTCACTTTAATTAATTCTGCAGAAAGTATGGTAGTGTTCAAACATTTGGGATTGATGTTAATCAGAATTGTGTTCTTGAAGAAATGAAGAGGAGACTAAATATGGAGAATGCTTGCTACCATACACTTCATAATCTTTTGTCTTTCTGTCAGCCATCTTGCAATGCAAAGATTAAAATATACAGAACTATAGTTTTTGAGTTGTTTTATATGGGTGTGAATCTTGGTTTTTCACATCTTTCATTCTCAATACTGTGCTTAGGCAAATGTTTGGACCAAAGAAGGTTGAAGTGACAAGAGGTAGAAAACTGCATAATCAGGAGCTCCATAATTTGCACTTTTCACCAGATGTGGGTAAAACAAATGTTGGAAAATCAGGACTTAACTGTATATAGCTTTGCTAGTGGGTGCACTTTTACTTCAATCACATTGTTTATTAGCTAAAGATGCTGTTGCAGTTTAAATATTGCATTACTTATTTGCACATTCTTAAGTATTTTGTAAAAAAAAATAGAGAATAAAGACATTTTAAATGCAAAACTGGTTTAATTCTTGTGTTAGGGTTGTACAAATGACCAGTTAATTTTCTTCTATGTGTTTACTTTCTTTAAAATATTTACTACACTGGTAGTAAACTTGTTTAGTGTGGTTGCTTTGAAAGAAACCCACTAAATGATAAAAGTTCTTACTTAAAGTTTAAACTGTAATCTTTAATATCTCTTTGTAATTTGTAGTGTTAAGTTTTTTAGTAATCCACACAATGTTAATTTAAGTTAAAACTTCTGTGATTTTAAGAAATAATGTTGGTACATGATTGATCAAAATTCTGATCAGACAATGTGTTGTAAGTGCACAGAATAAAAAAAATGCAGCAAAAGTTTCATGCAATAAAGTTTCAAGTGATGTATGTATATTAATGACATAATTTGTTAATCACTTTTCAGATATAAACATTCCAGTGGCAGATTTAGAGAGGTTCACAGAGCAGATCATTTAAAAATAGATTCTCACAGCTGATACAGTTTGTATATGGTAATAAAATTATAATTTTAATAATTCTTACATGGCAGAGACTTTTACTTTTTTCATCTTGGTATACTAATTACATGTGGGCAAATCATTATTTTGTTATAACTATAGGAAAATTACGTGATGCAAGGATGACTGTAGTTGGCAGCTGGTGGATGTCTTGGCCACAGCCTACTGAAAACACCTTAAGTTTCAGTGCTTGTGTGTTTTCACTTAGTAGAATCACTACTAATGTACACCAAGTTGTTTGCCCATGATCCAGATAAGTTCTTAGGCTAATTTCATGTGCAATTTACAAACATTTATACTTAGGAATCAACTTGGGAGCTTTCTTTTGGGTATATGAGAGAATTATATTTCCTTCAATCAGCAACTTTTTGTACTCACTGGACACTAATTGAGAATGTGAAGTTATAATTTCAAACGATTAGGTGCAGTTTTAAATATTCCGCACGTAAAATGTCACAATATGGCGTCCTCTATATCAGTGTGGAAACCCATAGCACCTTTGTAGTGGAAATGGTCACGCATCGAAAACGCTGTGACATCTCGGGGCGAATGGAAGAACCTAATTTAGAGACAAATGTTTTCAGGTAGTTGCTTTTTTATTCTGTCTGAGAACCAAGTGAGAAGAATGAAATAATTATTACTTACACAACGAATAGTTTATATTCAACGAATCGGCATCTTAACTCTGTGTTTTGGTGTTTTCGAAAATTGGAACTATAATTCGTGACATTTTATTCTTTGTTCAAAATCTTAATGTTCTTTATTAGTTGAGTTGGCCTGACGACAGCAGATTGAGTGGACTCATGCAAGGTATGTCTCTTAAATGCACTACTCTACGACGTGAAGTTATATTATAAGCATGCCATTTTTCGCGACATCCCTGAAATATTCCTTTTAAGTGTCAAGAAACACGTTGTTTACTCGTTATTTCCGTGTTTTTAATTGGACTGTTTTGATATGTATTCTCTCGTTTCAATCGGCAGCATCTTTTCAAGCGCACGCAATCGAAATTGTATTGAGCTGTGAGCGTCGTATGAAAACGACGCTGTAACCAGCGTCATTTGTTCATCGGTGTTTTTACGGCGTCGTCGTTAGAGGTCATAAGTAAAAAGATCGTTAATAATCAAGAAAATCCTTTATATAGGCCTATTTTATGAAATGGACGACGGTTGAAAAAGAGGGGAAAATGGGGACGGCACCAAATTTAGAGAAATTATGCCGTATTTGCACTGCTGAACAAACGGATAATATTCTTATATTTAGTGAGGAAGGGAAGAAACTTTATTTAGAAGCGAAAATGAAGAAATATTTACACATAGCGGTGAGTTATTGTGCAAATATTTTTTGCGTGACACTGTCAGTCTCGCCATTTGCCGGTAATGATGTATGTATATGAATACATATTTTTTGTCTGTTTTGTATTAAAAAGAAAAAGTTTTAGGCTAACTAATAAATTTGTTGGTATCAACTATGAAGTTATTTTAGTATTTCTCATGCCAGGTGTATGTTATACTTATTAACATTTATTGGTTGATATTAAAGTTGTGATTTCTGTAATTTCAGGTTTCAATTGAGGATATTTTACCCAAAATGGTTTGTACAAATTGCTGCAAGAAATTGGATAGTATACACCGTTTTGCGTGCATGGCAGTAAAAATGCAAGACAAGCTGAAGATGTTGCTGGAAACTCCCTCGTCTACAGAAGAAGTAAAGAAGGAACACAGCATATTGCACTCCATACTTAGCAAGGTTCATTGTTCAATTATTGAATTGTGTTTCTGTATATTCTTATTCAGAAAATTACGTATTTAAGCAGAAATCCTCTTCCATTGCTCATTAGCCATATAGTACACAACTTTTGTCTCTTTACAGCCCTTGAAGTGAGAACATATTACATGCATGTGCTTCGAAATGTGATTTTAAATATCAGATTTTGAATGCCTTTCTTTCATTATTGTGTTTGTAATATATTTATTGGAATTGCCAAGACTGCTTGTTTGAAGTGAATGTCGTAGATTTAGTCCTCAGCACTTGCCCTACTTCATTTTCATACTAATTTCACTTGCTGTAGCCATCTGTCACTGTATTAATATTTATGTTGTTTATTTTGAATAGTGCCTGGTGTTATAATTGTAGTGCATGTACAGTAGAAGTCAGACAAGCTTGCCATTTGTATGGGATGCACAGACACATAATTTGACTTGTACATTTAGCAGTTATATTGGGGTTCAGTGGGTTTGGCCATCACATGAATATCTGGCTGTCATGCTCCATTCACTTTCTGAGTCTGGATGATGCTTTGCTTAGCTTCCACTTGCAAGTTTGTTTGATGTCTACTATACCTGTCAAAGCTTGCAAAAGGAGAAGTTTGTGTTATTTATTTGTACTTTATTTAATGGCACTGCCAGTAGTTTATGATATATAGCATTGAATGATAATGTATTGTAAAGGGTCTGGATGGCCTAATTTAAGATACTATCATAGCATTTGCCTGGAGGGTATGAGGAAAAGCACAAAATCTTCAGTCAGAGTAGTCAGTTCCTGAGCTGAGATTTGAACCTCCATGACACTGCACCTTAGTACATAGCAGGAGCGCTAATTACTTGGGCACAGTGTTTGGCAAACTGCTAAGTTAGTATCACAGAGTCATGAGTATATGAACAAGTAAAGAGTATTCATTAATGCTTAGATCAGAGTAAAATACTAGCAGGTGTGAAATAATAATACCAACCAGAAACAGCATTTATTGGTCATATGTGTTATCCAGACTATCCCCCAAATGCAGGCTTTATCAGACCACACTCACTGCAGGTATCACCATACCCTCATTTGCATGTTTTGTAACCATAGTCCCCACTGTCTACTTATTTTTTCTGCATCACATGAATGGCATGCCTGTGTGGTCAAGCATGACAGAAGATTTCTGTCTTCTGGGTTGTTGCGCTGTGTAGTCTGGTAGATGTTAACTAACGTTTCAGAGGTCATGCTGCCTCCGTCATCAGGGCAATGACCTCTGAAATGTTGGTAAACATCTACCAGACTACATGGTGCAACAACCCAGAAAACAGCAATATTCAGATTCACCACTGTGAAAACCTCAAATCCTACAATTAGGCATGGCAGACATTGGATATGCTTAAAAATGCCTTAGCTTATGTCATCAACCTGTTTATAAAATACACATTCCCTTAGTGTTTTTAGTTTATCAGATTTTGATATTCTAAAAGTAAAAAGTGCCATTGTGTAACCACAAGAGAAACACTGATTCATGCCATGTATTATCCAAGCAGTGCCTGAGGGCCACTTACTGAATTACTGTGATTGTAGTAACACAGGCTACATGTGTCTGAAAGTAATCAAGGGATTTTTGTAAGTTGGGGTAGAATTTTGTGAGATTGTGTTCTCAGTGGAGATTAGTATTCCTGCCAAATTCTATTATTTACAGCCACTAGATTTTTGAGAGCAGATATCCAAATTTGTTAAAAAACATATTTTGGCATAAGTTATTTTAGAATAAGTGATGTAATGTCTGTCTGTCCTAAGTGAGATACAGAGCATCATTTTGTGCTGATGATGGGGGCTGCAAGCACCTCTGAAATGTTGGCAGACTTTTACCAGAAGACAGCCATCTTTAAATCTTTGAATTAATCCATACAGGTATCATGTCAGATTTTACTGCAAAAATTAGAAGCATGTTTAAAAATACTAAAGCAGGACACAGTATGCAGAGGGCTTCAAATTTCCTTGCTGAAGGCATTAAAAGAATTAAATTCTTACTTTCTGAACTCTAAGATACTGCAGTCTGTTTAACTCGTTGTTTCTTGGCTCTACAACCCTGTTGTGGGTTTTTGCTACCTCTTTTTCGGAGGTTTCTTGGTCTTGAAGTGTGCATTTATGAGTAGTGAGTGACCAGCCCATTGACTGTGCACAATTTCTACTCAATCCTGATTTGACTGCCAGAACCATCTAGCCGTGAATCAGGAGACTTGGGTGAGAAATGGCCACTGAATTTTGCTTACGAAACATCTCGTATCATGCTCGTAAGGTTCTTTTACATGCCGTAAATCTACGACATGGGACCGCCGGCTTTACTTCCCCTCTGAAGGAAGTTGTGCTACGGATTTTATCACCCTTAAAAATCCTTTGACATCGGCCAGGATTGAACCCGCGAACCTTGGGTCCAGTGGTGAGCACGCTAACCACTAGGTCACCAAAGATGACCTGTTTAACTTGTATTTACAAAAAATGAAACAGTGCTATGATAAGAGGACCATGCACGTACTTTTGAACCTTAATTTTAGTATTCACCTACTTTTAACTCTTTGAAACCAAAGAATCTCCTAATAATATTTGAAAATTTAGTCCCTACCTCATAGAAAACACCATTACAAAGGTCCATTGGTTGATGCTGTGAAGGGAAATAATTACTCTTTATCCTCGGAATCATACGGAACCCATGAGTAAACTCTGGTTAAAATACAGAAGTATTGATTGTTTAAGCTGATGGTGCTTACAATTTCCACTGGCTTTTAGAATTTAAACAACTTTTCTGTACATTAAATGACTCACTTCCATTGCCTTTACTGGATTTTAATAGAAATTTTCACCAAATATCACATTCAAGTGGTTAACACTTGTCTCATATGTTAGAAGTCTGAGGTTCAGATTACGGCCCAGAGACTGACTATCCCGACTGAAGTTTTTGTGCTTTTCCTCAGTATTTTGAAGCAAAACCCTGGATTGTACTTTAAATGAGGCCATTACTGCTTCCTTCCATAACCTTTTAATTTCATTATTTATTAAAGATTTGATGTTATATACATACATCTGAGCTATTGACAAATTTAAATATACTGTAAATAATAAAATAGGTAATTCTATCATCAGTCTACTGTCTTGAAATAGTGTGAAAATTGAATAAATGATCACATTAGAATTGTCTGTTGACATTAGTTTTATGTGTTTTGTACATTCAATTGCTATGTGATGTAAATCAGACCTTGGCTTCGTTTGCAATGACTGAATGATTTCTAGAGGAGGGTTACAGCTGCTAGACATGCTTTCTTAGTTTATTTAGCAGTGCACAGAGGAGGAGAAGGTTTGAAACTGATAATTGGAAATGAGAGTTTACCTGAAACTAATAACTTGTTAATGGTATTAGAATTGTAAACTGTAATATTAAAAGTATTGTCAAGAGTGCAGTGTTCCCACATTGTGACATTTGTAAATACACTTTTTTCCGAGGTATCATGTATTGGAAGGTGAAAGACAGCATACCAGTATTCATGATGTCTGATATTTCAGAGAAGCTGACATACTGACCACTATTTTGTGGTGAGACTGTCAGTAAGTAAACAACAATACCAAGTTTGATACAGAGGGATTTAATTTCAAGCAGCCATGTGGTTTTGAGTTCAAAGAACAGTACCGTGTCAAAATCAGGAGTGCTTTCACAGTCACCCTCCACTCTCCTTTATATAACAGACTTACAACTCAGCATGTCTTACATTGCTCTTGAAGGCGGAGGTAATCACCAAGTTTTTTTGTGTATCTCTTCCATGTCAGGCTTTAAAAATTTGGTCTTGTTTCCCTGTGGGATGTTTATTTTGTAAGAAGTTTAGCATAAATTTACAATAGTCATTCAAAGAATGGGCTTTTGTTTCATATTTATAAATTTTATTTTATTAATATTTTTTTAATTGATGTTAATATTTTGGCAGACCCTTTCCTGATAATTTCTTCCGTGTCAACCATAGTGTGATCAGTTAAAGAGAAGTAAATGTTTGTTGACTGTGTATGTAGAGATGAAAAGTGGGTTATAGTTCTTAAAACTTTATTTAATTTAATTGCTGGCATTGTTACTGATTATTTATGTAGGGACATAACTTCTCAGATGTCCTATCAACAGTGTAGAAAGATGTCTATTCTCCTGATTGTTAATGAGGTTAAAAGTTGTTAACAACAATAATAATAACAGAGACAATGACTTTCTTCAAAGGGTTTGTGGTGGAACAAATTATGATTGTTGCAGACTACTACTAATTTCTAAGCTATGCTTCCATCTCAACTTGTGTGTCTTAAGTAATTTAATTCTGTGAGATATATTAAAATTTTTAATACATTTCTTGTTTCCCCAAAGTAAGAAAAGAGACAGTTATAAATCTCTTTGCTTTATTGGGTGTGTGTCAATAATGTTGCAGGGAGCTGAACCAGAGTGTGAGGTTACAGAAGTGGAGGTGCGGGTAGATCCCATGCTTTTCCTTTGTGCTCTGGAGGAAGATGGCAGCAGTGATGAAGACAATACTACTGACAGTTTGTGCCATCAGACTTCTGCTCTAAAGTAGGATTTTGTGTTTATTATCAATTTTTCAGTTGCTTTAGCACTTCTGGTTTTGTTTTCAAAATAGAGCAAGCTGTTGATTATCAACATGTAGACTATCTGATTTGCAGACTTGAGGTTGTTATGGCAGTGACAGTAATGTTCTGGGTTTTGGTGCTCTGTGGACTGGTATGTAGATGCTAATGTTTTGGAGAAGTGTACTGTCTTTGTCTTAAGGGCTGAAGTGTCTGCTCGGAATCAAAAGGAAAAGTGATCTGTGATTCCAGCAGTCTTTTGCGTGAATTAAAATTCCTGCACAGAACATCCAGGATAATGGCTACAGTGAGCATCAGATTCTCCAGGCTCTCAATGTACTTACAACATTCTTGCAGATGTGGACAGACTGGATGTTTTATTAAAGACCATCACCAAAGACGAGTAGAGCGGATCATAAGGGAAGCACTCCATCCTGTCAATATTAACAGGGGAAAATAGCCTGTCCCTGGGTTGGGCATGTAAGCCTCTCTCTCATGACCTGAAGGAACAGAGACAGTCTCTCATCAAGGAATCAATCCTATCCTGTGGTGGGCCTGAAAACAGCTGACTTCTCTCCTATTCTCCACTTGCCCCTTCTCCTGTGATGCCTGCTTGGAGTCTCCACATTGGTCTGGCTCAGTCTCTGCCTTATTCCATTCTGATTGGTCCATTTCTTCAGACTTCCCTTCCTACCACTCTACATAATTCCTCTGATGCCCAGCATTGTCAATTCAGCCCCAAAGATGGAGACAGTATGCTCTCCAAATGTTGGCATTTACTGGCCAGTTCACATGGTGCCAGAACCAAGAATAACATAATCGTTATCTGATTTGCAGGCTAATCTCAGCATTTTTAATGTGACAGTAATGAAGGTACTAAATAAATAGTTGTTTTCACAGTGTCCATGTCATCTGTTAGGCATTTTAATGTTCTAATTGTGCATGCTATTACTGTAGTCTGTAGCAGTATGACTGAGCTACATAAAGTAGCTGCACACATGATAGTTACAGTACTTCTGTGTTACAAACGTTTTACAGCCATCTACAAAATGGTACAGAAGTGTAATGAAGATTTATGCAGAAGCATGTGGATGAATGTAACAACCTTAAAATGTTCTGGTATTATCATATTCTGTTAGATGTTGCAAGGTGTCATCTGTGGTTCTTATTGGTTCATATTTTGTAGAAGTTGATGTTGTCTTGATGTAGGTAACAGTACATTTGTGTACCTTCACTTCTTTGATTTCTTAGAATGAACTATACTGTGACTTTTTTAACACTGTAAACACACCTTACCTCTACAGAAGTTCAGCCATTATTTTATGTGAGGTGAAAGGATGAAGGGAATAATAATAATAATAATAATGATTGTCGCTGTATTAGTAGGATTGCCATTTGTGTTACTACTATACTGCCACCATGTGAATACATGGATGTATACACATCACGGTTTGATTTGAGGTTCTCATGGTGGTGAAACTGACAGTGATGTTCTTCTGGGTTGTGATGCCATGTGCACTTGTAGGTAGATACCAATTTTTCAGAAGAACATACTGTTTCCAGCTTTAGGACTGAAGTGGAGTTGGAGGTAAGTCTTTGTGTTCTTGAAGTACCCTTCTCAAACCATATTCCCTAACCTACCTTGCATCCACTCACTGATTCTTTCTGTCTGCTGACCCAGCCATCCTCTTGTGTTTCTCTGTTTGGCCTAGACCATATCCTTCCTCCTCATTTCTTGATTCTCAGTGGACACCTCTTAGCCTAGTCCTTATTCTGACTTTATTTAAACTATCCTCTTCCCAACATCCCCGCTTCAGCCCTGACATTATCTTTCTGCGAAATATTGGTATCTATCTACAAGTCTGCGCATGATCACAACCCAGAAGAACATCATTATCATGTATGTGTGCACACATGAGAATGCTTGTGTAAGTGTACACAGATTTCTTTGTTCATCTTTGACTCCTGCTAAAACCCTTGAAACTTATATGCCCCTACTTAAACCGAACACTGAGAAAATGCGATATATGACATGCATAATCCTTCCTAATTTTGTATTTTGGTTTTATTTTTTAATTTTGAAATTTCCGTTTCAGTAGCTCAGTTGGTAGAGCTTTTGACATGATGTTGCTGGTGATTGCATTTTACGTTCAGTGTGTGTTCTTCCTGCTACCACAATAACAGAAGGTGCATGTGCTAGTTTAGAGGTAAACTCAAATTTATAATTTCGTTATGGTCATTATAATCTTCCTTTCTCTATTTATTAGCTCTTGTGGTTTTAATTATTAAATAAATTGGTGATTGTAGATGAACATCTTTAACAAGTATGTGCAATATATTTCTATTATTACAATAAAAGTAATAAAAATATATTGTGCATGATGGAACTTCTAACTTCTGTATACATGTTAATAACCACAACAGGATGCATAAAATGGATATCTTTAACAGACATAACTGAATTTTAATGTTTATGTGTTTTCCGTGAAAAATTGGTCTTGGGAGCGTACCATGCTTAGCTATCATATCTTTCAGAACCTGAACCATTTGTAAAGTTTTGGAAGGTATTTTGTAGTAGAACCTTAGCTTTCTAGTGATTGTGCTGCATTGGTCACTTGTATTGTAGGTGGGATACCTGATTACGTTTCACATCTCTGGCCTATCCAGCCCCCTTTGCAAAGGATACAAGTAGTAAAGTGGCTTAGATATGAAGCTCACATCTCACCTCCATATAGTGTCAGCATTTCTTACATGCCTTCATGGCATGTTGCTTACGTACAGATGTAGATTTGCTTTGCTTGAGATACACATGGCTTTTCTAACATATAAAGGATTCGTGCAATAAATGTTTTATAATGCACCTTTTTTTAAATTTCTTCTTGAAAAAATTAATATAACCTCAAACAATCTGTAATGGTTATTATAAGTTTGTATCTTTCTAGTAATTTTGCAAAGGATGGCTTAAATAATGACTGATTCACAGCTTGGGCTGGAATTTAAGTTAATTCCTTTAACAGTAAGTAATTTCATGTGAGAAGAGTGAACAGAGAACATATGTTCACAGTCTGATGAAAGCAGTTTTTCAGTATAATTTCCTGTTTGTCTTGTGCTTTAGTCTGATGCCAAGGTCTGGAATGTGTGTAGTATTACCTGTAAGATGCTAGTTCGCTGTCATGTCTTGATGCTCAGGATCAGGCAGTTTCACCTTTTATGTAGCTCAGAGAAAGCATGAATTATAAGTAGCATGTTTCCTGCCTGGAATTGGGCTGTTGTGACCTGTTGACATGTATGGGTGTCCTACCATCAAGCTGTTTTCAGTATAGCGCGCTTCCTCTGAAATTTACTTTAATTTTCTTGTTAATTAAATGTTTGTATTTACAATCATTGTTTTTCTCAGCCGGTATTGAGAAGAGCAATTCGCAGTGATTTGGCAAATATAAGGAGTGCAGGTCACCTGCTTTAACACAGTAGTGAAGTCTAGGCAGCTATGATGGGCTGGGCATATAGCTAGGAAGGATATGGAAAGGATTAAATATAATGTTTTTGCAGGGATGCTTGTTGGAAAATTAGGAATGCAATTAGAGGATAACATTAAATTGGATGTGAGGTTGGTGCAGCTGGGTGATGACAATGTTCAGTATAGACACCACAAAATGGATTCCAGAACCTTACAGTTTTTATAGAATCTGGAGGCAACACTAACTGTGTGGTGTTCTTCCCAAATACTGCTGGTTGATGTTAAATATTCTTGCAACTCACAACACATTGTGGCGCGCTTCTCAAACCTAATTGTTTGTGTGTTAATGTATTGGATGGAATTAAAATAGTCTCACCTGGGAAACTGGCTATCCTTCATATGTTATGATTTTATGACCTCCGAACAGGCCATGACTGCTACTCTTGAATTCTTTCTCATGATTCATAATCATTGTTTAGTTTATTTTGTGCTGAGTAAACTGTTCATTTCACACACATAGCATTGCATATGACCACAGGATGTTCAGGAAAGTTATTAACATGTGGTTCACTGATGCAAATTTTGTTGCTCAAAGAAAGGGAGATTTGCTCTTGCAGTGACTATTTTTCATGCTGTTGACGAGCTTGTTTGTTTACTTGTTATACTGAATGCTTTGCTTGGCACTCTTGTTGTATATCTGGGAAGTCCTGGGAGTAATTCCTGCCCAGGAAGTATCCCTGGCATTATTTTGTAGCTTTCATCAATTTCTCTGGGAAAACAGAAGCCTGGGTCCTGAACGTGTCTTTCATTCTTTTTGTTTCAACATTGCAATCACCTTATGACTGAATATTGTATAACCGGCACAGTTGATAAAGCATAATTAAATAAGCTGTGAAGTAACTTAGTCCCAAACTTGAGATTACATTACAGTGTTTAAGTTTATTGTATCACATCATGGCTAGTGTTTGAATATAGTAGTTTTTATTGTGATTTTTTTCAGTGACATGGAGCAGGCAACATTACCTCCTTCACAATTAGCAGTTGTCTCACCTGCATCACCTGCCACAGTGCCAGCTTTGGAGAAGGAAATAAAACCTTATCGCTGTTCAATTTGTACGAGAGGTTTTAACAATGAAATTGGATTACAGAACCATCTGTGGAGCCATCTTCCTCCAGGGCGTCGTATTCTTACAAGTACTGACAACAACAGCCAGCTACAAAGGTATGTTAGGCCCCTGTTCCCATACCTTCATACATCATATAAATTTGCCATGTCTGTTTGTGCTTTTACAACAGCTGGTTTTGTTCCGTTTCTTTTGCTGAGTTTATGAACTTCTTAGTTTAAGGCTCATCAGATTCATGAAAGTCCCGTCTCACCAGCAGTGATCTTTCCTGTCTCCATAGTCGTGTCCCATGGTTTTGGCTCAACTTCCAAGTTGTGTGTCTCTGTGGGGAGCTCAAAAATGAAGGTTGAGTGGACTTTCCTCACTGTCTTTGTATGCAAGTCTAGGTGCAGAGCCCAGACTAGAAGTCTTGTACACCCATGTAGTGCCCCAGTTGCCCAGGCAGCATAGAATGGCTGACCGCCTCATAATTGGTGGTCTGGCTGAGCTGCTATGACATGTTTCTGCTGACTGGGAACTGCAGTGTAATCAACCACAAGTTCCATGAAGTCTGCATGGTATACAGTTAGGTTTGCTGTGCTGATGCTGTATAGAAAATGTGTATTGCAGGAGGATGGCATGACATCAGCCCTGTTTACAGAGTTAGTGTTTGTGGTGTGTGGCTGCTCATACTTTTCTTATTTCAGACAATCACCTGTGTATTCATCACGAGGAGTATTGCATACCAACACCAATCCTTCAGTTACCAATAGCAACAATATGAGATTTGTATGTCCCATCTGTGGTAAGAGAATTTCAACCAAAGGAAACCTAAAAGTGCATCTTGAGACTCACCGGCCGAAGGGGAAGTACGGTTGTGACATTTGTGGCAGAGTGTGAGTACTGCTGTTTTGTTATTTGTGACAAAATATGCTTTGAAATTTCACATTGTCATGTGTTATAGCAGATGCATCAAATATGTATTAAGCCATGTCTACACTCGTGTGCTTTCTATTTCAACATTCAATTCAACTCTCGTTTAGGGCATGCCTTTGTTGAATGCGTCAAATTCATGCCCCTAGCTGTCCACACTACGCTGCCATTTGTTAGTCATTTTTGTTAACATGGGAGAGGAACATGTGAGACGCAACTTTACTTATCGGTATAAGTGCAGCATATTTAGTTATCACAGGTGTAAGAAAAAGAAAAGAGCAATGGCGGCGACACATATGGATGAAGGATTATTTAAAGAAACGGAATTTTTGGAATTCTGAAGGATTTGGAAGTCGATGAAGAGGTTCTATTTAGAAACTTTAAACGAATGTCCCATAATAGTTGAAACAATCTGTAAATGTCGATAAACAACAAAGTTTCTTCTTCCGAAAACGTCTTCTTGTAGAGGAAGGAGACGCGCGGCGTGTTGAAACAAAACCCACTCAGGCTGGGAAGACGTGCAATGAGGCATGCACTGCTAATACTGTTTCCGTTCAACTCTTTTCAGGCATGCGTCGACGCATACATTACGTGCCCTATTGCTTGCGCTATAACGCATGCCCTTGACGAACGTAAAAGCGCACGAGTGTAGACATGGCTTTTGGGTTATTCCATGACAAATGAACAGCTCACAACCTGACTTCCACTAAGCTGCATGAAAAATGCAGAGAAACTAGGCATAATGGATGTAAGTATCCTTACCAGTTTTGAGCTCTGAGTGAAATAGTTTTGAAGTAGTTGTGCTTTGAATCTCAAACATGATGAAGTGTTGGGCAAAAGTAAAAGTAATTGTAAAGGGCAAACATTTTGATCTTTGACCTTGCATTGCCAAAAATGTGAACCCATCATTTTTTAAATGTTTTGTGTGCCATTTGGTATTCTCTCAGTGCACCAAATTTCAGTCTGGGATCAGCTTGTGATCAGGAGTTATGAATCAGGCACTTTTACTCTTCACAAGTCAAAAATAATATTCATGTCCTTTCTTTGGAACTAAACACAAGTTGACTGATTACCTGTTCAGTTGTTCTCATAGAATTTTACACTGCTGTTGTATTCAAGACAAGGGATTGGTGGGCCCTGGATCCCCAGCATCAGGACATGAACTCTTGTTAGCTGAACAGATACTAAGCCTTGGGATTGGTTGAGTAAGGCACCGTTTGAGGGTGAAAGCCCAAGAACAATCTTCAGTTGTTTGGATGGCATTTATTGAATGTGAACTGTACTGACATCGGTGATACAGACTTGAGTTGGCATGTTGAGACTCAGGGAAACCATGAGGTTTAATTGCAGTTAAGTTTCAATTTTTATGTCAAGCAGCAGAAAAGTAAGAAAGTGTCCCACGCTACCAAAATTCAGTGGGTTTGTAAGGGTCACCAAATGGAACGTCCCGTGATGTGTACTAGAATGTGCTAGTTATCACTGCCTCAAGGGTCTGTTGTCTCCACACTTACTTTAATTCTACGGTTTAGGGGCTGCTGGAAATATATTGACTTACCCTCAGGCTTTGTCATCACACATTACCCCAGTTTTTAAAATAAACATATTGATGAGCATTGGGCTTGTGAAATGTTTGCTTGGCTGCGCTGTACCTAAATAACATTCAAAACAGTAAACGCTTACAACTACTTCCAAAAGATTTGCAGCAAGTGGTGCATAATCCGGGCACAACATTACGACTTCAGTAGATGATTCACCATCAACAGGCTTAGAAACTGCTGTGTGAATGTGTTCAGGATGCCTGGGCATAAAGGATTAATGAAAGATGGTTATGGATCATGGAGATGAAGGAAGCTTGGGTATGTGGCAGTACCCAAGTCTGGGGAGACCCTGACCAGGGTGCCTTAAAGGCCCAGGTCTCCATAGTTTAAAAGGTTATCCCTCCCCAAAGACCCAGGGACTTGGGATCTATAGGGAGGTGAGGCTTTGATTATGGCTGCCAGTAAGCTGGGGAAGTACAGGGCTTCTAGTAGATTAAGTGAATGTGGACACACAAAATATCAGAAATGGTCACATTTCAAGGTTTGGTTATGTTCCCACCCCACATACACATACGTGGGGATAAAAGAAAGTAATTTTCACTTTGTATTCTCATCTGCATATAGCACATACCCTAACCATCATGTGGAGTAAAAGATGTGATAAATCCTGTAGTGTCTTTCAAGTCAGATGTGACACTAGTTAGCGGACTGTGATGAGGAAAAAAACATTTTCGTTAGTAAAACGTCATTTCTGACTGGCACAAGGGTGTTGGTGTCTGAACACTAGTAATTGCATGTGGGTGATGTCTGACCTTCTGAACCTAGTTAAATGACATTTTATATTGAGAGTCAGCACTAGAAGTTCATATCAGTCCAGTGTAACTCGTGTTTTATGGAAGCTGAATTTACCCAGACATAGTCATTCAGAAAACATACCATAGAATATATTTTTCATTTAGATGTATAACTTTTATTTGAAACGTTTACTGATATGAAAATTTAGTAGAATACAGCTGAATATAATTTATTGCTTGATGCAGTGTCATGTCTATAGTGGAACTAGTTTTGCAGCAGTATATTATTTTGTGGCTGTGACAAATGAGCATCAAAGCTAATAAGATATGCTAAGTAGGAAAGACTTGGCTGTTACTGATGTAGGATAATCTGTATGAGGTACCTAATATCTCATTTAATGTCTTTAGTTGTGTTATAATGTAGTAATTTGTATTGATGCAGGTTTAAAACACAGTCTAATCTGTACCGCCATAAGGATTATCATGGAGGTATACAATTCCCATGCAGTGTATGTGGAAGAGTGTATCCCACAAACAGCACACTTCGAGCCCACAGCATTACTCATAGTGACCTGAGACCTCATGCATGTCCACTTTGTGACAAGACCTTCAAACGTAATCAGGATCTCAAGGTACTGTAATTGATCATTACCATGTACTTCCTCAAGGTTTTTTTAAGACATGCGGAAAACATTTTTAATTCAGTTTCAGGCCATTAAGAATCGTGTATAATTTGAAGTAATTGTCAGTCCTCATCCTAGAAGGCACAGTTTCATATTCTTTTTATAATTTGAAATTTGTTTTATTTGTAGTTCAGGGTAGTGACTAAGATTACTTATAATTAAAGTTACTACCTAAGATCCTGAAAAGAATTTTATTTTCTGTAATAAGTAGTAATAACATGTTAATGCTCAGGCACTCAGAGACGTTACATTTGCCTTGTGGCATCCCAGTATAGTTTGTTATCGTTTCCACCTGAAAGGAAGACAACTTTAAATCTAAGACCAAACACCCCCCAACCAATAAACATGTCTGCACAGTGAAAGATATTTTGTGTCAATTTTATACTGTTAATACAAGAAAACATTTGAAAGTTAAAAGATATTTGAATTCATGCTGTACATTACATTTGTTTCCTTCATTGTAATCATAAAGTCTCTAGCCTTTATCCAGTTTCATCGACTAGTTTTACCTCAATCTCCTACAAAATATAATCCTTTCCATCCACTGCAGGCAACTGAAGGGATAGATCACACAGTATTCATACTGAGTGCAGTAAAAATTGATGCAAATGTGTTTGCATTGTATTTTTTAAGCTCACACAGTGTTTCTTCAGTCAATTTGCAAACCTTCAATACTGTTTCTACACCATTAATTATAACTGCAAAAACCTAATATTGTGCAATTGGTATCGCATGTGTAAGGGCACCTTAAGGATTGTGCTGGGGCATGGCGATAAACCAAGAAGATTTACCAATTGCAGTTGTTTACTCAGATAAATTGCCATTTCCTTGTGTATTATGTTAGAACAATACTTCCAGCAGTCTGTGACAGCTCATATTTACTACCTCTCAAATTTATTATGCCACAATGTGATGTGAATGTTAGCATACACTGCTACTTAAAAACAATAACCCATTTAAATATAAAACAGAAAATACTGGTATATATTTTGCACTTGAATCCAAGACAACCCTTCATTTTTCAAATCTGAAAGTTAGGGGGGAAAAATCTTTGTCTTCCTTTTGGGTGAATCCTGTAATTTGTTTTGCTAATGTTGCAGTTTAGATCAGGGCACTCTGGAAGGTGATTTTGTGATCATTGTTTTTATTGTTTTCTTTTCTGTGGAGAACTTTCTCCACACAAGTAGATTTTTTGTTTGTGTCGATGAACCACATGGCAGTGTTGCTGGCTGTTAGACAGAACGTAGGTACATTATCTAGTCTTTAGGCTTCATGGATTATGCTTCTATTTTTGAACAGTATATTCCAGTTTTTATTTTGGGTTTACGTTGAGTAATCTTTAGAATAGTTCAGCTTACACACTTTTGTTTAATATTAATTTAGCAGAGTGAAGGACTTTTTGTAGGTTGACATTTCTGTGATTTGTATTCCATTTTCCTGCCAAGTAATGTGCCTTTTTGTTTCTTGTTACTCAAATGTGTGCAAGAACCCACTGGAGTTTTATGACTCCTTTCTGTATTAATCAACTCATCAGTTTTTGTTTTTGTTGTAGTTTCACATCAATCAGCACACTGGTGCACGACCTTATCAGTGTCCATATTGTCCTAAAGCTTTTGCTAGCTCAGGCAATTGTTTCTCACATCGGAAAAGAATGCATCCCCAGGAGGTTGAACGTGACCGAGAACGAGCCGCACAGATAATGCGGTGAGATGATGATAGCTGCTAGCAGGAATTTTTGCTGTAAAAAGTAAGGTCTCTTCCCACTTGTATCATAATATAGATAATTTTGTCTTCACACTATAGTTGTTGCTACCTGATCATCCACAGGTAAGGTTTTCTTCTGTAAATC